GCGCCTACAATTGAAATGACGAATTTGCGCGCAAAAAACGCGATATGTGAACGACCCCTAAAGTGGACTTGGGTGCGGTTGTATCGGGGTAGTTTTGCGAGTAGGAGTACATGAGCACAGTATCGCACCGACACCCGAGTAGGCTACTGTTTATCTCATTATTAGTCCATCAGAAAAGCATCTAGGCTTATTCTAGGCTGGATAACTCTTAGCAGGTTTAAAAAGCCTTTTAAAATTAAATATGAACACAGTTTTGGATTAAATAAAAGTACAGTCAAGTCAAATAAAACACATTTTATCTCCTGTATTGTTTGGTAACACTACAATAAGACACCATTCATTAACATTACTTAATGCGTTATATAATATCAACACATTGAGTGAACAATATATTTTTACAACACAAATTAATGTTTGTGAATGTTATTTAATACAAACACTTGATTGTTCATGTTTGTTCACTTCATTCATTGTGCATTAAATAATGTTAACATAAAACTTTTGATTTTAAAAATGTTAGAAAAATTAAGTGCTCACAGATTGGGTGTGGCCTTTGCCATTAAAGGAGAACTCCGGCGCAAAATGAACCTTTGGTCTAATTACACATTGGTACCTAGTCAACCGTTCTCTGAGATTTGTTTTCATGATTATGGAATGTAAATAGTTTTATCTCTAAAAACAGTTTAGCCTATAAAGCTAGTATAACGCTAGTATATTGGGCATAGATCAATGACAAATAAAAATCGCTTGTTAATACCACTAACAAGGCTGAAAATAGCCCCACACTAACACGGTAGCATAATGAGGGTCCCTACCTTCAAACCGAAGCATTGAGAACTTTGTCAGTGTCCAGACAGTTTAATAAGAAGATATTTTAAACATAGTCAACTTCGCGTATACAGGCAGAAGCCATCTTTGAAATACAGTCTCTACCAGTCGATCTACGAACGCCGATCCAAGCCTGCTGTTCGCGCTCACCTTATCACAACTTATAGCTCGTTCACATCTCACCAGCGCACTTGGATCCGCGTTCGTAGATCAACTGGTAGAGACTCTTTTTCAAAGATGGCTTCTGCCTGTATACGCGAAGTTGACTGTATGTATTAAATATCTTCTTATTAAACTGTCTGGACACTGACAAAGTTCTCAAAATTTCTAGGGGAAACACTGGTATGTTTATGTATACTGTGTATATGTATATGTATACTGTGTATATGTATATGTATACTGTGTGTATGTATATGTATACTGTGTGTATGTATATGTATACTGTGTATATGTATACTGTGTGTATGTATATATATATCCATTGATTTTATCACTTGGTTAACTCTTTAGTGTCAGGATGTGAAAATCTTTTATTTTATTTGATCTCGTTTTATTTTGTAATACTAGTGTTGTGGCTGGCTGTTAGCATGTTGCTATAGGTTTGCCAAGTCAGAAGACCCCAATCCCAACTCTATTTTAGACGTCCTAGACTAGAATCTGCCCTCGGTTGTAGGTTTTTAACTTTGGATCCAATCAGGTGAAAACTAAGTTGAATTGTTTATAAAAGTAATAGCACAGGTATCATTCATGTCCATTGCACATACGCTTTGGGGCGTTTAAGTTTAATACTTGGGTTTCAAGGTTTGTGCAAACACTGCTAATAGACTTCAAGATGGACCAGACTTTATAGCGACACTGAAATGTCTGGCTGAGTGAGACAATAAAATCCTTTATTACACTTCCAGGCCTCAAAGAGAAGCTGTCGACCTCAAAGTTGTGTTATAAAACCCTTCCTGGCTCACTGCGCGGCTCTCATTGCCAGAAATTGATAGATGTTTTGCTCGAGCACCTTCGTCGTGTCATCCATTCTGTTAGAAATTCATTTCTGATGTTCAACCTCTGCCTTATTTTCACTGTCTTTTCATTCCATTTGTCTTTTTTCTCCATGACTGAAGTATTCCTGCATGCTCTCTATGCTACGGGCGGCTCACGCAACCTGGCTGTAATGGCCAGTTATTTTCCGACTGGAGTTATTCCTTATCGCCTGCGGCCAGATATCTGAGATTATTTTATGATTCCTTTTGTGCGCTTTTGACTCTGTCAGTCAGTGACTTCAATAGGGCCGTGCTCATCTCATTCCCTGTCGTTATGAAGCACTTTACAGATAACGGCATGAAATGCTCCTGCTTTAGCCCTCAGGACAGGTTTTCGCCGGTGTTTCTGCAGGTCTGTGGTTTAGACACTCGTTTAGAGGGCCGGCGAATGACTTCCCCTCTCTCGCTGATGCAGCTGGTGTCCGCGTACAGCTCAATGGGCTTCATTCACTCAGAGCCAGAGGAAGAGAGGCGTCTGCTTTCTCTCGGGACATGGACGCCTCTAGGGACCTGAACTTCCTGTCAAAGTCTCACACACACGGGTCATCTCATGCTGCACTGATCCTCTTTGTGTCGCTCCCTTCCTCTTTTTCCTTCAGCTCTCCAAACAGTTGGCTGTGAAATTATCCCGTCTTATAATTCATTTTAGGTGGCATCACATCACAATATTATTACTAGAATTTTTTTTTTTTTTTGTACATTTGTTTTATTTGATTTGCTCCAATTGGGTATCAGTAGCCTCAGGATGCTTATATATGCATATATATGTATGTATATGTATATATGTATGTAAGGTTTTCTTATATAAATGGGGTCCTTGAAATCCTTGAAAGTTTTTGAATCAGGAAAAAAATATTCAAAGCCCTGGAAAGTTTTTGAAAATAAACATACATAGATACAGGTCCTTGAAAGTGCTTGACTTTATTTTGTGAAATATTATATTATTCCGGTCCGTTAATGTGTTATTTCGCCAACACTTCGTGGCCTATGCAAACTAGCTTGCTTGATTATGTTAGTTACGCTTATTTACGTGTTACGTTAAGTGTTTCCTGCGTGGGGTACTTTGTGTTGTACGTTGCCTTGACGTTCACGCATGGACGAAACTACTATGATGGTACCTGAACGTTTATTGTTGGACACAACAAATGTGTCCCCACATTAAGTCCTTAAATTTGAGGGTATTGGACCTGGAAAGTCCTTGAAAGGTGCTTGAATTTGAAGTTACCAAGGTGTGGGAACCCTGAACCTGTTTCAAGTTGTGCAGATGGTGTTTCAGTCTTTGAAATTCCAATCAAATCAATCTGAGCTGAGCTAATATAATCATTTGTGTTTATGTGTGCTTTTCCATGAGTGTGTGTGAGAGAAAGTGGTCATCTGTTCTTCTTTCTAAGATAAGAGCTGTGTCTGTGGCAGTTTATGCACATTAGAGACATGCTACATATTCTCAACCATTATCTTTCCCTCTTTTCTCTAGCCCTCATTACTCTGCCCTCCTGTCGTGGAAGTGTTTCTCTCTCTCATTGTATTGCTTGTTCTGTAATTGGATTGGCTTCTTGTGGGTATATCAGAATGGCAGCATATGGGATTTGATCGGGTCTTTCTGTCTGTCTGTATGCTTCTGTGTGCAAAGGAGCGTACAGCTCATGTGTTTTTGAAGTTTGTCTGACTCTTTTGGGATGTTGCTTTATGTATATAGTCAGTAGTATACAGTAGAAATGTGTATAATCAAAGCCCTGTTAGACGGAGAGAAATGTATGAGTTCAATGCATGCACTTGCAAAACCATTCGTGGCACAATGTTGATTACCATTTAAAAAATGTTTTTTACAACTACACAAGTTTTCAAAAGTTTCTTGTGACAATTTTTTTAATGTTTTTGAAAGATGTCTCTTCTACTCAGCAAGGCTGCATTTATTTGATTAAAAAGACAGTAAAAAAACATCAATATTGTTGTGAAATAATAATAATAATATTACAATTTAAAATAACTTTTCTATTTGAATATATTTTAAAATGTAATCTATTTCTGTGATGCAAAGCTGAATTTTCAGCATCATTACTCCAGTCTTCAGTGTCACATCACATGATCAGAAAGATTCAGGAATCTTAAATTATAAAAATAAAGGCCAATTCAAAATATAAATAAATAGTACAACAGTATAGCTCTTTTTATAACAGCTATCTTATTGTTTATTATTAATTCTCTGATCTGAAATGATGTGGCAGGTGCTTGCCTGTGTTTAATTTGGTGCTTTAAAGCTTTTTTGGATGGTTTAGCAACTTATGATTATTGAATTGAATGCATGTAATTGCAGGTACACGTGAGTGTTTCTCTGACTTGCCATTCAAAAGGACGTGCATTGAAATATTTTAGTCATGTTGGGCTGCAGAGGTGTTTAATTCAGATTCATGATGGAGGGAGAGAGATTACAAAGAGAAATGGTGTGTGTGTGTGTGTGTGTTTGTTTTGAAAAGGCCCACACTGAGAATATTCTGTAATTACTCTTTCTGCTGAGAGACTTGCCAGAGAAAAAGAGAGAGAAACAGCATGTGAGAGAATGAAGGTGAGAGTCTTGACTGAGACCGAAATAGAGCGTGTCTGTGTGTGTGATTAACCCTCACCGCTCTCTTCTCGTCCTCTACTGTCTCTCTGTCACTGGGGTCGTGACGTTCAGGGTCGCTGCTCGACAGATGAACACGGCAGTAACACTCGACATGAGCGCAACACTCTGTCTGTCAAAGACATCACACACTTCCAGAAGGAAATAGGGTTTGCAGAACATCAAGGAGTTTCAATATTGAATGATGTCGTTGTTGATTTTCTTATTTTTTTTCTTTTTTTTTTTCTACTTCCAAGCTCCAAAATGAGATTAATGTTGTATAGATGATACTTTAAAGTTGTCATTCACATTCAAATACTGCGCATTCAATCATGACATGATTAATATCAAACCTTTTTAATGCTTTTAGGTGCTTGAATGTGTCAAATTTGAGACAGTGTTTATTGTTGAGCTGCAGTTGTTTGTTGTATGGTTAGTTATTGAATTACTGCATCATCTATAACCCTCAGCTACACACACACACACCAGAAATTGATGCCATGTGTCTCAGTACAGTGTTTTATGTTCTTTGTCCCCAGCCATCTATAACTATGATGCTCGCAGTGATGAAGAGCTTTCCTTACAGATCGGGGACACTGTACACATTCTGGAGACTTATGAAGGTGAGACACACACGCACAAACACACACCTTATGTTGTGACTAGATGTGACACCGTAAAGCATCAAAATGAAAAGTGGCAAATTTTTAACTATTATATATTATGATGACCTGCATTCATCAAGCTCGACCATACAACCCTTTACCAAAGCTATTTTAAGAAGAAAAATGTATTTATTTAAATTATGGAAAATTTAATTTTTTTAAATTTGGTCTCAGACAATCCGCTATGGAATGATTGGTTAACTTAGGCAAAATCTGAAACCCAGTTAACTTTATTTTATTTATATTATTTTATTTTTTATTTTATTTTGTATGCATTTTTATTTCTTTTATTTATTATAATTTTTTTTGTCTTTTTATTTTAATGTTTACATATTCATTTCTAGAAAATGACAAAACGTATCATAGTTTTCAATTTTATTTCTGTTTCATAGTTGCAAAAATGAATAGAACAAATCAATATATAATTTGCCCGTGACATTTTTGGTCCTCTCAACTTATTTACCTCTCAGTGATCATTTGATGAAGAAAAATCTACTTCTACTATTTATGAAGAGTTTCACACACTTGTTTGTACCCCTATTCATGTAAAGTATCTATTTCAGTCACCTCTCGCCATTTTAAGACCTTTACACACTGATATGTCCTGTTTAGACCTTTCCTCAACCTCTCTCCGATCTCAATAACACACACTTTAGTCTTGAATGATTTGTTCATAGCTTGCAGAAATGCCCGCTGCCTCACTTCATATCTCCAGGAGATTTATGGAACATGTCTTTTATAATCTCGCAATATTGTTTTCTAGAGGGACACAGTGGCGTCGCACTGTAATCTAATTGTTGGTATTTTCATCTGACTGCTGTGATATTTCTTGCTCTTCTCAGGATGGTATCGAGGGTATCGGCTGAGGAGAAAATCGAAGAAGGTGAGTTACTGTATGAAAAGGTTCAGCTTTCATGTTGAATTAAATCATTCTGCAGACCTCAACTTGAATTTTTCCTTTGTTTGGTAATTTTGATGTACTCGTCTGTGCACAGGGTGTGTTTCCGGCTTGTTACATACATCTGAAAGAGGCCACGGTTGAAGGCAGTGGGTCAGTATGTTCATTTAGATTTCTTGGAAGTTTGTATTTTGCTAAATATGGAATAAAAGCATTATCAACATCTTAACAGGCATTAGCTCTTTTCCCAAACCAACTCTTTTCGGCCATGCGTGACCTGCATGTATTCTTCATGGAGAAGGCAATCTCAGGATTTGTTTCTCAACGGGAGAAATGTTTACTAGATCAGCTTCATTCACTACTCAATAGTATCAAAACTAGGTGCAGTTCAGTTTCTTAGGGTGTGTTCACACTTGGCATGTTTGGTTCCATTAAAAGGAACTCTGGTGCGATTGCTCTGTTAGTGCGGTTCATATGAATAAGTGTGAACGCTGCGATCTGAACCCTGGTGACACCAAACAAGTGGACCGAGACACTGAAAAGATGAGTCTCTGTCCGCTTCCAAACGAACTCTGGTGCGGTTCGACTGAAATATGAACACAACCCGGACCAAAGACATGTAAACGAACCAAAACCGGGACATGATGTCACCAGATGCGACCCTAAAAAGGACCGAACGCTCAAGCATTGCTGTTTTTTCTCATCATAGTCGTGATGTTGCCGATCACAGTTCAGTAGAGGTGTCAGAACCGCGTCTCCTCGCTGCAGATCTGTGTTTGTGTGTGTGTGACGGAGGGATTCCTGCCGCTCTTTTGACTCTTTTACACAATTTATAAGCTCTTCACGAGTTCTCAGCTGGTCAAAATATCATCAAATGTAGGCTATACACATACAACAACGCATTTAGCCCAAAACACAGCATTGTTTTGGATGTTTGACTAGTTCAGTGGCAAAATGCTTTTTTTTTTAAATATATATTTGTGTGAACGCCAAGCGAACCAGGTCTAAATGTATTATTTTCTTTTTTTAGTCCGGAACAAAAGAACCAAGAGAACCCAACTACAAGTGTGAACACACCCTTAGTCTAATCACAATCACAACCACAACGTATTTTCTTCTCTATGTAGGCCGTAGGCAGCTTACTATGTTTTGGAACATATTCGCATTAAACTTTACAGATTCCTTTGCTGCATCTGAAGATCATGTTACTTCTGTTATTGGTCTGATTATACCAGTGTTGGTCCCTGAATCCAGCCTCAGCGCAGTTAACATCATCCTTCCCATAGACGTCTTACTGAAACAAGTTAGCGCTCCAACAGCCCAGTGCCAGACTAATAGGAGATTTTAGAGTCCAAAATGGATTTTCGAGTGTGTTTCAGGAATATAATACACATGAGTGAGTGTTGGTGTGTGATTGTGTGTGTGTGAGTAATTGGAATCGAGAGCAGAGCCTAGCTCCGATTTCATAACAGCTGTTTTGATGACTGATGCTGGTAATTAGTTTTCATTGGTATGAAGGGATCTGAATGACTCCGGGACCTCAGAAGCCCATATTAAGCTGGAATTACTGACATGAATAGAGTGAGATGCAGTTAAACAGCCTATTGTTTCCCGCACAAGTGATATTCTTTGAAAAGCTCCTTCACTTTATTGTGCTGCCTATGTTTATTCAATTCTTTTTCTCTGTTTTGCACTCTTTTTCCTTTCTTTCTGTCGCTAGACAAAAGGAGACGGTCATTCCTACTGAGCTCCCGCTGGTTCATGAGGTCACGACTACGCTGCGAGAATGGGCGACGATATGGAGGGACCTATATGTGGTAACCCTGCATTTTGGCATTTATCTCAAGACGTGGTTGTATATTTCAAAAGTTGCAAACTATTCCTCTACACACTTAAAAGTATGCAGTTTTCCATTACACAAAGAGTGCATAGTTTTAAATTATGGTGATCGTAGATGAATTGGGACGCAGCAGCTGTCCGAATTATGACATCATCAAATTGACACTGTCAGCATGATGACATCATCAACTTCATAGTCATGATTTGACAGGCGATGCATCTAAAAATCTTGTACTGACTAGGCACTGTTTAACAAATAACTTATTTTTTTATTTGTTAAAGTATATATTTACCCTACAAATAGTTTTTTAAACAGTTTTTTTGCTATGAAATTAGCCTTGGATCCTGGCATGGTGTTAAAACAAACAAACAAACAAAAAAGTATGGATGTGTAACATAAATGCAATCTGACTATAATGGCATTGTCATGTGATCTATGATGTCAGTTGCATCACTTCTCCACTAATTAAATCTTCCCCTATGACCTCATGGGATGCACACTTTAAAATCTTGGCATAGTTAGTAGGTCATCTGGGTATTTTGCCAACTTTTTATGAATGCTGTTGGACATCCTACTCATTTTACATACTGCTTTTTGCATACTACAGTGTATAATGGGGAAGTATGCATTTTCAGGAGATCAACATAACTGCACATACATAGTCATCTTAACGACATAGTCAGCATTTTGATGATAACACGTCACCGTTCATAGAACAAACATTCATCTGCTATGACACACTGCAACATTGCAATTTTCTCTAATAAATCTGATCCCCATTGCCTGTGGCGTGATGTTAAGAAGCTCTGACATGATATCCAAATTAAAAATTAAAATTTGTTTTTTAAATTTTCCAAAAAGAGTCTCATTGACAGTTTGTAAACACTTTTAATTGAATAAGTACGCAGTATGACACTCCGAGGGTCTTTGTCTGCAGTGATTAGGAGCCTCACGCCTTTATGCCGCAGCATGTGCTTTGACAAATTAATTAACACGCATTGCAGGGTTTTAAACAGACTTTGTGTTTCCAACAGGGCGACAAGCGTGAGATGTTCAACACGGTCCGAGACATGATCTATGACTTGATCGAGTGGCGCTCCCAGATCCTGTCCGGCACGCTCCCGCAAGATGAGATGTCGGAGCTCAAACAGAAAGTCACCTCCAAGATGGACTACGGGAACAAGTATGAACACACACACACACACACACGAACACAAGCTGCTGACTCATTCTGATTGGGTTATGGTAGAACAGGGAGAGCTTGAGCTGGAAGTCACGACTGCAGTCCGTTACGTAAAATCTGACTTTTAATGAGACCGTTCACTGTTGTATTGCTCTTCATTTTTTATTCAGGGTCTGTTTTTGCTTTGAAGGGTCATTGTGAAAAATGTTCAGCCCTTCGCATGTTTTATCCGAAGGATAAATAAAAGATTCTTAATCAGTGGTCTGTGCCGTTGCTCATACTTGGGTTTAAGATTCCTTAACTTTAAGTATTAAATGTTGATGCTGTCTGATGATTTTTGCCTGGCAAAACAATGAAACATGCAAAATGGCCTTACACTGAAGGGCCATTAAGTGTCCACCTTTTTTTGCAGTATGGAAGAAAGCCATTTTTTTTTATGTGCACTATAGGTAAATGACTCAAACAATTGCAGAAGTGCAGTGAATGGTAAAAAAAAATAGCTAAAAACCAAAGTATTATTAAATTAAAATATTTTGACTGCAAATACCAGTTTGGAATATCAAGCAGCATAACAGACTGTTTGTGTACAGCTAAAATACTTGGAAGCGGATGACACCGGAAGCCTCGCACATTCATATCCCGCTCTTATGTTAAAAATAAAGTGGATACACCCAGAACATCCTAGAAACTGCATAGCAACACCCTGGCAACCACCTTCCACACCTGGTTTTGACTTTTGCAGGGGCAAGTGTTATCAGAAAAAAGCGTTTAAGCATTCTAACCACCACTGCACAGTGACATTGGATCAACCAATGGTGTGAGTTTGGGGCGGGGTTATCGGTCCAGCTGACCAATGAAAAACAGGGAAACCTGTTTGAATGGTTTTGCAATTCCACTTGGGTATTCTAGTGGTGCAGACTATTTTCTGCTAATTAGACACATTCTGTTCACTTTAGTGTTTAGCTGTAGGAGGAAGCGAGTATACAGATGAGATGATAGAACTGCTCTGGTCAAAAAGTCAGTAGTGTCACAAACGCACACATGTACATCTCTCAGTTCTCAGTTAAAGTCTCTGTCTTTCTCAACTTGGTTGGATGAAATGTCTTTATTTTTACGTAAGTGTCACTCATATTCATTGGAAATCAACTCAATTAATTTATTACGTTACACATAATTTCAATGCACATTGACATTTTTCCAGTTCCATGTAGCAGATGATTTCATCCAAATCGATTTAAAATTTAAAACCAAGTGTGTTTTAAAATGTTTTTTTACTGTGTTTTTTTGTGTGCTTGGCAGGTATTTAGACCTGGATCTGGTGGTTAGAGATAAAGATGGGAATATTCTGGATCCTGACCTGACCAGCACTGTCAATCTGTTCCGAGCGCATGAAGCCGCGTCCAAGCAGATTGAAGCTCGCATCCAAGAGGAAAAGGTAAACGATATTAGACTATTTTCATCTTTTATGGCACAATATAAACATGCTGCTTTTTTAAAAGTGGTTCATTTAGATTGATATATTTAAATGTGTTTGTTTGGTGTTCTTGGATTGCTAATCTGGAAGGCCTTAGAGCAAACGTTATACTCACTTAGGCTCTTCGTTTTGCATTGTTATTTTGGTCATCACTACCCGCTGTGATGTTTAATGAACACCTTTAATTATAACTGTTACTTCATTTATATGTGTGACTTTGTCAAGCACAACCACTAAACCACATAAAAAAAAGTCCCTGACCGCAGCTCTCAAACACTGTCACTGACGTGTGAGCGTTTACACGGGAACAGAGAGTGTGAGAGTGAACCATCTCACTTCCTATCTTGCTGTGAGGCTCAATGTGACACATGGCTGGGTGATATAGCTTGGTGAAAAAAGTCTCAATATTTTTCAGCCTTTTGACAAGATGCAATATATATTCTTTTTTTTCCGAATCAGAGGGACCATTACATTACTACATTGCAAACTTACAATGCTTGATGCAAGAAATGCAGCAAAAAAATAAACATAAAAACATAATTATTATAATTATACAATAATAAATTAAATAATTTATAATGATTTATCTTTGCTCTTTTTGTAAGGGGTTGAGATTAAGATGGTTAAGTTAACTTAAATTAAAAGTTGTTTTTATAAAGCCTATTTAATGTTAAACATAATGGATTTCAAATATACTGTAATGTTGAATGGCTATAGTTAATGGCTAAAATGAAAAATAAAAAATCCATGTAATAGAGAAATCAGTAGTATTGGTGATACTGGCCTTCATTCATAGTACTTGGTAAAAAAAATTGCCATTAAACAAATATTTTAAATTTACTTTCTTTTTGTTGTTTCTACATTAATTTGGAGATTCATTGTGAAATAATAATAATATACTATACATGCATACATACATATGATATAATATATTCTGTAATATATTGCAGAAAAATTAGAAATGAATTTGATTTTTTGACAACACTAATATATAATCCAAGCATGTTTTCAATAAATGACCACAATAAATAATTTTATTTTATCAATTAAGTGCACCTATATACTATAGTGATTTTTAATATTAGTATTTTTATTAATTTTATATTTCTGTTAATTTTATTATTGTACTTTTTAGGTAACCTAATAGCTCAATAAAATCAACAAAAATATCTATGATGTTATCTATGATGTTAACATGTGTCAGATAAAACGTTGCAAATATGTTGTGAATATTTGACATCACTCAGCCCTAGTGTTACGAGAGTCAGGGCTTCTTTAGACAGAAGTGTGTTCTCATGAATCCTCACACATACTTATATACAGTCTATGAGGTTAACATCTCTGTTTGACCTGTGTGTTCTCACAATGCCTCTCTAATGACTGTTGAAGCACTGTAGTGCTTTTAGATGAGTCGCAGTGAGTGTCATTCACCATGTTTAAAACTGAGCAGGTGCTTCCCTTGAGCCAGGAGGTTTAGTTTAAGATCGGTTACGTTGAAGGAGCCGTTCACCCAAAGTTGAAAATTCTGTCATCCTCCATCCTCATGTTGTTCCAAACCTGGATGACAAGGTGACATTTTGAGAACACATCAGCACTGGTGACCTACCTTTCCCATGTGACCCTACCCAGATGTTCACTGTCTTTGAGTCTCTTTCACCAGATACAGATTGCATAATTGATATAGGGCCTGTCTACACCTGATCAATTAATGTCTTTTTGCTGATTGGATAGCTATCTGATTTGATAAAACAATTCCATTTACACTTGACCGCATAAATGTCTGCGCAAAACTAATATATATATCTCCGATCCTCAATCCCTGCGCTATATGCTAATTTAACGGAGTTCACGTCAATGAAATCAACAGATATGAGCTGCATTTTATTTATCATCAGCTAATTTCAAGATCAAAGACCGCATTAGGAGAGAGAGCGGATTCAACACTGGTAAGATAATTTAGTCTCACTACTTTTAATGAAGATGATTGTGTTTTAAGGTTCTGCAACTTAGTTTCAGTTTCATTTGATGCAGTAGCGCTTTCATATCTGGCTATAACATGTCATATAGCCATATAGGGGTGGACTGGGACTAAAAAGTGACCCTAAACTTTCCGGCCCAAGGTACCCAGTCCGCAACACACCAAACATAACACAACAGCTCATTGTGCACAGAGCAATTTAACACCACCTACTAACTTAAAAATATAACAGTAAAGAAAAATAAATATTTACCTTTTTTTTATTGAAATTATTTTTGTGCTTATTAAAATGTAATACATGATAAATAAATGCAATTAGAATAAGACATTATAGGTATGTTACCAATCAAATGTAAAAATCAAATCAGACACAATCCATCTTTTCACTGCAGAAGCTGCATCTGAAGTGGCATTTAGATGCATTTACACAGACGGTTTACAAATGCAGAAATAACGTGATCAAATTAATGTTTTAAATCAAAATAGCTCATTGAGTACTCAATATATTTTGTGAGCAAAACACTCAATATTGACAGTATCGTCTTAAATGATAATTTAAACCTATCCTGTGTTTTAATGTATTAACTATTTATTTATTTATGAATTACATACCATTGGGAAAAGTATACAATAGTGATGATCTTAAAAGGAAGACAAATGAGCATCTGGTTTAACCCTTGTGTTCTGTTCGATTTCTGTGTACACCCCTTATGGACCGGGTCAAATTGACCCTAATTGGATTCAATACAATTCCTCAAAAATCACACTATGAAAAACAACAGATTTAGATACAAACTGTAAACTTTTAATATCAACATTTGTCAAACATTACAAAAACATTATATCTGAAAATATGATTTATGAAAATGTTTTTAGAACATTTTTTAAAACAGTTTTGTTTTGACAAAATTGGAAAATAAACAGTATACTGATTTTTTTGGCGCATATTTTTTTTTTTTTTTTTTTTTTTTACATTTTGTGCTTTGAACATCGTAACTGAACAAAAAAAATTGCTGTATAATGAAATTTTTTCATTTTCCTAAGTTAACTTTCCCTAGTTTCCTAAGACCTATTTTCCTAGTTTCATTATTCACTCACTGGGAAGTGAGAAACCAAACATAACAAAAACATACATCAAATAAATGTTTTTTATGTATTTTTTGGCTCTGTGAAGCTGCCTTTGAAAATCCTACATAAAAGTTTTGGTTAAAAGCTAGGTATTTTAGATATTTTGAATATTGAAATGAGAGCTTATTTTACTATCTGTGTCTGACAAAGATTTTCATCTGTAATTTGCAAATAATTCTGAACACTGTAATTTTAGCTTTGTCAAGTGTGTTTGGTTAGGGTTAGTGCACTTTTAGATACACTTGCACGTTAGAACTGGAGTTGAAGTGCCCTGACATACAGAAAATAAATGTTTTTATTTTGTGTCTGTACAGTTGCTTTTGAATGGCTGCCTATGAGGGTCAAATTGACCCGCGAACATCACGAACGTAACAGTAATTTTGTTTGTATATGTCAAAACACATCAGCATGTTGAAACTTTGCATGCATGTTCATCATGATAAATGAGAAAAAGTCACAAAATATCAAGAAAAAAAACAACAGTTAACCAGTATTTCCAACAAATTGAAAATCGAAACGGGTCAAATTGACCCGCAACATAACGTGCCAGTAGACGGATATGTTATTTTAAAACCGGACAGATGTCCACCCTATTTAGCATGTTTATTTTGAACAATTCCTTACATCTTACCTCGCATTCGCGTTAAAAACTGCCGTACTGAATTACTGCTTGGCCCCGCCTTCTTTGATTTGATTGGCCATCTCAAACTTTTTGACATTGACGAGTGCTGTTAGACTGCTGCAGTGAGCCAGAGACAGTAAATAGATGAATCATTTTGAGTCATGACTCATGTGGGCATTCACCTGGGTCGACAGAAAATGTAAACGCCTGCTATCATTCATTCTTTACATATTTACGTATAGCAACGGGCCGGCACACACTGTCCAGCGGCCCACTGGGAAAACGCCCGGTGCTCCAGATGGCCAGTCCGCCCCTGCATATAGCCAATAACATGCTCTCACATGTTTTTTTTTTTTTTTTTAAACATGTTGGGAGGAGTAAAATTTACATATGTGGATCCAACAACCAGATGCATTTACACTTGTCCAGTTGAATGCGTCTCAGACCCCCTCCTGAAGAGCTTTAAATGCTCGGATTTAAATCCGTCTCGAATGCGTTTCGGCATTTACACCTGGTCTTTTCACGATCGAATAGCTATCCCATCAGAGAACGCGCATGAAGTGACCAGGTGTAAAAAGTCCCATGAATTCTTTGAGACTGACAGTGATTAACGCCTGTGTAATTAGTCTGGCTGACTTTGACTCGAAGCACATTTGAAAGATTAATTACCATATTTTTTATGGATTTATTTATTTTTCAGTCTCAGAAGCAGAACATGGATTTGAGCAGGCAGGCGAAGTTTGCCTCCACACCCTCGTTTGCCTTGTTCGTCACGCTCAAGAATGTCGTGTGCAAAATCGGAGAAGATGCAGAAGTGCTGATGTCACTCTATGATCCGATTGAGTCGAAGTTTATCAGGTCAGTGCACACATGGACTCAAACGCTTACACTTGCATGCATGAGAAGCCATGCAGTCCTAAACATAGCGGTCAAATAATGACTTTGTTCAGAGATTTAAAGTCATTTTTTAACATTATTTAATATTATAGCTTTTATTATTATATTTAATTGTTATTAATAATTATATCAGTGATATTATTTGTAATTTAAGAAAAAAAAATTCTCCCTTCTTAACTCACCCTCATTTGGCAGCCATGACGTTTTACACATCACAGTGTTTGTACCATGCACACAATTCTCAATGGTTTGTTTCAGCAGTGAATGATGAATTTTATTATACTTGAGTGTGTTCACAGAGAAATACATTCGCATTTTGCAAAAGCTTTTTTATCGAAAGCGTCTTACATTCATTAAAGCTGTACATTTATCAATATATGCATTCACTGGGAATCAGTCCTATGATCCTGACTTTGCTAGTGCTATGATCTACCATCTGAGCTTTAGGGGGAAAAGGTTTGTAGTAAAAGTAATGCCATTAATATCTGTTATTTATTTCTACATTTCCTTGCAGTGAAAACTATCTTGTACGCTGGTCCAGCTCAGGTTTGGCGAAAGACATCGATCAGCTGCATAACCTGCGTGCCGTATTCACGGTACTTATTATTTTCAGCTTTGCTTTTGACCCATTTCAGTCAAGATTATCATGTTTTTGTTAACACTTACTCTGTCCTCTACTAAAAATGCATGTGATTTTGTATTAAAATTTGGCCGGAAATGTGGTTATGATAATGCCATGTTTTAAAATGGCATCACCTTACTGGGTTTTAGAACAACGCTAATTTGGGGCATGTGTGCAAACCGCTAGGCCACCCGTGAAACCCTTCACATGCATGACCTAATTGTTTGATTTGAACACTCAAATGTGTCGTCCTGTGCCGATGCGCTGCTTCATTATCGGCTCGTTCCTGGAAACATCGTCATGTAAATGACTCGGTTACGGCTTGATTCCATTCGTCTGTTCCCGTCTCTTGCATTGTTCCTTAATGAGTAATCACGGTATTATTGGGTGACACTTTAATTCGTGTTCATCAGTCGTGTTGTCGAATTGGTAATTAAAGTGTTGGAGAAAGCAGCATCATCATTAACGCTGTAAAGGGTAATGAGCTAACGGTCATTAGAGGAGCGGATAAAGAAGCTCACTGGAGATGCTGCCTGACTTGTGGCGTTGCACATATTGTGTGTGTCCATGTACATGTGTTGGCATCTGCCTGTACTTTAACACAGGAAAAAAACGACTTATTATGAACATGAAATCATTTTAAAGTTCTTGTATTTCTTACACATTATTATGAAGGATTTTTTATTTTATTTTAATCGCATGCGTTTGTGTTTTTGTATTTGCATGTACATAATTAATAATTAAATATTCATTAATGTGTGTGCATGTCGGTACTTAAACACATTTGCACCCACAAATGAGAACCGTTCTTTTCTTTTTCATTTTCTTTTTTTTTTTATGCTGGGAAGGGACTTATTATGAACATGAAATCACATTGAAGTTGTTTATTCAAATTCTTGTGTTTATAAGTTCTATTATGAAGGATATTCGTTTTTTTTAATTGCATGCATTTGTGTATTTGCATGTTCATAATTTAATAATTATAGAGCATATGCATTGGTGTGTGTTTGTGCATAGGTACATATTTGCAAACCCCCAGCGGGGAATGAGTTGCTGCCCCCAATCAAACACTTCTCGAAACAATTTACCCTTCACCCATAAGCCGTACTAACAGTCTGTGTACACCGGCCCAATCCATGGATCAATCATTGCCTTCCTGGATAAAAGTTTGAGTTTAACTAGATGTTTTTAGGCAGAAACACCTGGAGCATCGCCGCTTGGGGGCTCAAAATGACATGGGGCGTTTTAGTACATGATTGTGCATGTTTTTGTGTGTGTGTGTGTTTTTTTTTTTTTTTTTTACACTTATGCTTCTGTGTTGGTGTGTTTCTCTCCAGGATCTGGGGAGTGAAGACCTGACGAGGGAGAAAATCAGTTTTGTTTGTCAGATTGTTCGAGTGGGCCGAATGGAGCTCAGAGATAACAACACTAAGAAATTAACATCCGGCCTCCGCAGACCCTTCGGTGTGGCAGGTAGTGCCTCGCTTTCTGTTTTCACACATAAAACTCAATGCACACTTAGCATGGTAACCATAGTGTCCATCAAAATAGCAACAAAAATGTACTTTGATTCATTTTCAGATGCTTTTATCCAAAGTGATTTAAGGACCTTTTTGTTGCTATTGACAAACTCTACTTGTTGTTGATCCACAGGAACACCAACTATTGCTTCTACTATTTTTATTTTTTGTTATATATTTTATTTTTTTAGACAATTATTGCTAATACCGAGTTGCCACAGTTTAACTACAGTGTTTCCCCTACCATTGTTTTGGGGGGGCGGCCCGCCCCCCCAAAACGACCCCCCGCCCCCCCTAAATTGCTGACGAAATCCAGTCATAAAAAAGAAATTTACTGTATAACGCGGAATTTCATGGAATTTGTCAATCTTTTGAGGAATAAATAGAAAGCAGTTCAGTATACACTTGAAATCAAATCGCGATGTAGACAAGTGTGTGTGTATATTAAACCACAAAGACAATTTAAATACTAATCCTGCTTGTTCTGTGTGAATGAATGGTGCAGCCGACGCGCAGTTCCATTTACCACACACACACACACACACACACACACACTGAAGCACGTGTGACGCTTGAGCTGTTTTTTTGCATATATAAAGACACAAATGCAAAAACTTCCTCTCCAGGCTCTAGATCCACTCCGAAAGTCACTTCGTGATCATTTAACCGCTTCATTTGAGAAAAACTATCATTATGACAAACACACAAACTCAAAACGTCTTCACGGCAACCCATCAAAATAAAAGTTCGGTTTAACTTGACAGAAATATATTACCGTTGTACAGTAGAATTTAGATATGTCCCAATGTAATAATACTAACACTAATCCAAATAAATTATCATCAAAACGGAATTTTTTTAAGGAATAATCCATGTTTTAATTTTAACAGTAGGGCCTAAAGCTCATTGTGCAGCACGTTATTTGACAAAATGTTTATTTAATTTCATATGATTAAAATTGATGATAAATGATGATAAAATTTGTGTTTTATGTCTTCATTTTATTACCAGAAAAAACACAACACAGAATTAGTGTGACATTTTTTTTTCATATATTTTTTTTTTAAATGTATACGTTTAATGATTCATAATACACTATTTCAATTAATTAGACATGCTTTTTGATTGCTCAAAATTTTACACCACGTATCCGTAACACGCCCGCTCCGCAACACTAGCAGCCCCCCCCGAAAAAAAATCCTAGGGGAAACACTGAACTATACATGCAAATATATTTTGCAGCCGTTTTGTAATCTGTATTTTTATTTGTCATTTTTAGTGATTGCATACATTTACAATTGTTCAAGCCTTGTATGTAAAAATATATTGCATATAAGCTACAAAACGTGACACGCAACAAGCCGTAGAAAATTGAATGCACCAATCTTACTGAATTCATGCAATTTTAATGCATTGAAAACAATGGCCTTTCCACTGATATGGTGTTTTGTCTGCCTGTAGATAAATATGGTTTTATTACATGTACAATTAGAGTATACAGTAGAAGTCTTGAGCTGGTTGGAGTAAAGTGACCCTAATATTTTACCCTGATATTTGTGTCCACTTATCACCATTACTGTTTCTGATCCTGACACTTAGAGTTCAACTTCAGTGTCCAGTGCATTACACAATTTATGAATGTCTCCTGATGTTGTGTCTTGATGATAGATGTGATATTACTTTATTAAGCTACTTAGATTTGTGGGTGGTTGTTTACTGCTACAAGTCAGTTATTGTGCACAATAGGTTCCTCCTGTTGTGAACTTGGTACCTTAGTCTCAATGGAAAAAAGGAAATCTGATTTTCTGTTGTAAATAAATAAATAAGTCCGAACAGGAGAATGAGGAGGGACATGCAGCCTTTGGTTTCAACATCAAACGGTTTTTGAAGTGGGAAAGCATCTCTCTCTCTCTCTCTCTCTCTCTCTCTCTCTCTCTCTCTCTCTCTCTCTCTCTCTCTCTCTCTCTCTCTCTCTCTCTCTCTCTCTCTCTCTCTCTCTCTCTCTGTCTGTCTCTCTGTCTCTGTCTCTCTGTCTCTCTGTCTCTCTGTCTCTCTGTCTCTCTGTCTCTCTGTCTCTGTCTCTGTCTCTGTCTCTGTCTCTCTCTCTCTCTCTCTCTCTCTCTCTCTCTCTCTCTCTCTCTCTCTCTCTCTCTCTCTGTCTCTCTGTCTCTGTCTCTGTCTCTGTCTCTGTCTCTGTCTATGTCTCTGTCTCTCTGTCTCTGTCTGTCTCTCTCTCTGTCTCTCTGTGTCTCTGTGTCTCTCTCTGTCTCTGTCTCTCTCTCTCTCTCTCCCCCTCCCGTTAGTCTTTATGTGGGCCAGGAAGGAAGAGGCAGAACCTGCATGTGCAATGTCACCTTTAATGTGTCACATTCAGAGACAAGCCAACGCTTCCATTATGGCTCATCAGTTTCCTGTTGCCTGCTGTAAACTCAATCTCAGCTCGGCCACTCCTGCACACGAGGCCAAATGGCCATTTAGAGGCGATGTTCAGTCAGTAATAGCTGCGGGTTGACAGCTTATCTAGAAAGTTTTGGCTGCTCTCACCTTATAAACCACAAATTTAAGCTTCCAGGATTCTTTCTGTTGTGCTTTACTATGTTTTTCAGTGATGGGATGAATCTTCACAGATAAATATTAAGATCCTATTACACCCTAAAATTAAAAGGGGGAAAAAGTATTTTGCATAAAGAAAAAAAAAGCCTTTTTTTAGAACAAGTAAAATTTGGGATATCTTTTTCACACAGAATTCTCATTTCTGCTATGTGAGGAAAAGTCATAAAGTAATAAAAATAATTTAATTTATTAAATTAATTGAATTCAATGCAGTAGTTATTCCCATGATGTGATATTTATTTATTTAAGTAATATACCACTTTTGCATTATTGTAATGGAAATTTGGAAATGTGAATTTGCTGGGACAGTCTGTTTAAAGGGTTAGTTCACCCAAAAATGAAACTTCCGTCAGTAATTACTCACCCTCATGTTGTTCAACCCTGTAAGACTTTCGTTCATCTTCGGAACACAAATTAAGATATTTTTGATGAAATCTGAGAGCTGGATCACTCCTCTATAGGCTTCTATGTAATCTCGTTCTGCCGGCCCAGAAAAGTTAAAGACATCGTTAAAATAGTCCAAGTGACTACAAGTTTATCAAGCGACGAGAATACTTTTTGTGTGCAAAAAATAAATAAAAATAACGTCTTTATTCAATTCATTTTCTTCTGTGTGGGCCTCGAGTGAGTTCACGAGAGCCACGACGCATGTGCGAGAACTGAGAAGATGGCGCTCCAATAATTTGATGGGAAAGTGTGAAAGGTAAGCCAATCATTTTGCGACATTGGTAAGGCACTTTTACGGTTTCTCGTTGGTTTCTCACGATTCGGACGTCAGGAAATGCACACTTTAGCACCATTTTAAACTACATCGAGACCCATCTGCGTCATCTTCTCAGTTCTCGCGCATGCGTCGTGGCGCTCTCGTGAACTCGCTCAGAGGCCCACACTGAAGGAAATGAATAGTTGAATAAAGTCGTTATTTATTTATTTATTTTTTGTGCACAAAAGGTATTCTCATCACTTGATAAACTTAAGATTGAGCCACTTGGACTATTTTAACGATGTCTTTAATAACTTTTCTAGGCCGGCAAGTTTCAATCCCATAGAAGCCTATGGAGGAGTGAGACAGCTCTCAGATTTAATAAAAAATATCTTCATTTGTGTTCCGAAGATGAACAAAAGTCTTACGGGGTTGGAACAACACGAGGTTGAGTAATTACTGACAGAATTTTCATTTTTGGGTGAACTAACCCTTTAAAGTAAATGGCAAATAATGTCGCAATAGTCAATCTTTTTAAAAAAATCCTAATTTCATTGTTTTTTTTCTTTTGATTTTGGGATGAAATATGAGTTGGTTATTTCTTCTTTTCATGAGATTCACCCAGAGTTGTTTTCCCAGGCACTTTCTCTGCAGATATTATTCTCTTCTCATTCCTCTCTCTGCAGTGATGGACGTCACAGACATCATCACGGGCAAGATGGACGATGAGGACAAGCAACACTTCATTCCGTTCCAGCCGTGAGTATGAGTTCATCACAGCAGTCTTTATGGAGGTGAACGCAACATCACGACAATGACTGCCTCAACCTAGAAAACCGTGTGAAATGCTCTCTATTTAGGCACTTGGTTTTTAGAAAGGACCAATAAAACCACAGGCACCTACAGTAAAGAGAAGCTTCTTGTTTAATGCAAAACAAGTGCTAAATTTGTTTGCATGGTGACAAAAACAAATCTCACTGACCAATAATATTTGAGGCTTTTGGGTCATCAAACAAAGAAATAGGGCTAAAGATTTTTCTATTCGACAATAAGTCGTTCATTCAAACCAATAGTCGACTAATCGCACGTTTATGATATCAATTTGATTATTTAAATCGGAGAATAGATGAGTTTTTGGGCTGAGAAAGAATACCTTATGATATGTAACATTGCTAACATTGTTCTACATTACAGAGAAATACCAAACCATAATACCATAATACTGACTGGAAAAAATAATGATTATGAATGTGTTGGAGAAAAAAACTGGATGCAGACCGTCTGAACAATTTATTAATAAACTTTCGTGTCGGCTGCAAAGCTGAAGTTGACGATGCCGATTCATCATTTCCGCAGTATAGTGGACAGACATATAAAGATAAATGGACGTTTCATATAGATTACGTAATTGGAGAATATTTGTTTTCGATTTGAATTGGATTCAATTCATTTAAAAGTAGACATATTTTTCATGTCTGTGAGGCAAGTACACACTGAGTACTCTTATCTGTATGACCAAAAATAGAGTATTTTAAGTTCTTTCTGCTATTATCAGGAATAAATGCGAGTGATTTGGACGGGGCCTCCGGGTTAGAGAGTAAGGTAGTTTATGAGGTATTGTGTAGTCATACCTTTTATTTTGTGGCATAAGAAGGTTAATTTGAGAGTAAGTTTGTCTGTGTCTGTTTTCCTGATTTCTGCTGTATCATCTCAATGCTCTGTGTATTTATTCTTTGAAAACAACACTTTACACACACTCTTATTCTTTAGGAGAGCCATACGTGCCTCACATTCTGTCATTAATAAGACTACACTTCAGTCTTTCTCTGCTTTGCCACTCTCAGTCTAGCTGGGTCACGCACTCACTAAGGAGGAATGGAAGAGTTTGTTGTGAATTGTGGGGTGTTTAAAATGGGTGCTCTCACTTTTAGGAGGTTTTGATTTGTAGCAGCTTCAGACTTCAGATTATCTCCGTTCCAAAATCCAGTGAACTATCTTGTACAATAATAATTACAATAACATCATATTATATATTAACTTGAATTAAATTATTTTACAATATAATAATACTACTAATAATACATTTGCCAGGTGATAATAGATTAATTTAATTAAAACTAATTATATAATTCATTTAACATTTAATTTATAAATAGTAAGGCTGATCATTATAATAACTTATTATTTTAATTAAATTGAATATTTGTTTTTTTTTCTCTTTTGTTATATTACAAAGAAAAATATTCATATAATACACTATTTAATATTGTCATTGTATTATATCACATATTGTATTTTTTAAAATTTAATTTATAATCAATATTAATTTAGCTTGTCCACTGTCTTGGATGCATTTTTTACTATAACTGAGGCATATTAAATGATATCATAACTTTATTGCCTTTTAGTTGAGATCTGTCATCATGCCTTTAAAATGTAGTCTAGATAGGCAGACTACTAGGCTTTGGAGCACAGCTAGTGTGTATTTTTAGACTCAGCTTCATCTGTGTTTGGGTGAGATGGAGGGTCATCTCTTAAATTACAGCATCTCTTTGTGTCTCTCCTGTCACCCATCCCGCATTACTGTTTGCTAACAAAATGGCTTTTGTCCCTGTCATGGTATCGGTATCACTGTTTGGTGTCTTCCCTCTCTCTCTCTCCCTCTCGCTTTCTTCATCCATCTCTTCTCTTTCTTTTTATTCTGCTCATGTCCACCCTTATCTGGCTCTCTGTGGCTACTACTCTCCTCTCTTTCTCTTCCTTCTCTCTCTCTCTCTCCGTTGGCGTGTTGCCTGTCGTGTGTGAACTCCAGGCTAGCGTTGGATGACGCCATTCGCCACAGGCAGCTGAACATCTCCCGTTTTTCACCCAGGGTGGCTGGCGAGAACGACTTCCTTCAGACAGTCATCAACAAGGTCATCGCTGCCAAAGAGGTCAATCACAAAGGTCAAGGTAAAGGTCACTGGGCCCAAAGCCTGCACTGGGGTGAACATTATAAGGCCCTATGATTTCCATGACGCAGCTCATTTAATTTAATAATTGTTACACTTTCATTTGCTTAATATTTTATGCCTTCATATGGTTACCACCCTTTTTGATAATAAATTTGTATTGAATCAAAAATCTGAAAAAATAAATAAATTTAAAATAAAACGAGCAACACAGAATATCTAAAAAACAACCAAAAAAACATATCATAGGGCTCTATTATTGTAAAAAAATTTTTAAATTATTAAATTTTTAGTTGAATCAATTCAATTGATTATTCATGCATTTTGAGTATTATGTTTTAATTATACCACTAAAACGAAGAATCTCTGATTTCATAGGATCCTAAAAATTTATTTTTTGTTAAACTGTTAATTAATTGTTGTTAAATTGTATAAGTTTTATGTTTTTAATTAGTTGCATTTTTAGTACATTTTAATGTAACCATTAAAACGGAATCAAGAATAATTAAAACAGAAACAAAATGGAATTTAGGAAAAAAATAATTTTTTTAGGTCCCTACATTACCCAAGGTTTTCTCGTATGCCGTATCTTAACCTACAGTAACTGGTACAAAATGATATCTTTATGGTAAAAGAATATTCCTGGTATGAAACTAAGCTGGGATGGTTATTTGACTGATGTTTTGAACTGCAGTTTAATTATGTGGCCTAGTTTACATTTGAGAAGTTAAAAATATGGCATTTTAAAAGCTGATCTGTGAAGATTGAGACCAGGCTTGTCCCAGATACGATCAAACTGTGTGTCAAGAGTTCCTGCCAGGAGAGTTTCACAATCTAAAGGCGCCTGAATCATACAAATGACAAAGTTATTGAGCAACATTAATTGAAGTTGAATGGGGTTTATCAAGCATGAGAATTTGTTCATGCCAAGGAGAATGGGAACCGAATATTTTACGACACAAGGTCTATCTGGATGCACTGGTGTCAGATAACATCACAATCCATCACCACAAATACAATCCATCCTCCCTGTGATTCATAAGAGACTAGCACGACACATACATTTATTTATTTATTTTACATATGATATGTATACTTAAAATTTAGACATTAATTTAGTTTATAGTTTTTCAGTAGGGAAAGAGATTTATTTTGCATTACAGTAATGAGATCTTGAGGATGTAATATGCTTAATTGTCATTTAAAGTAATGTCAGTGCAAAGACATGTTTATGGTTATAACAAAATTCAACATTTTTTTTTCCTTTTGAATTTGAGGTGAAGTATGAGCTCATTTTTTTTCTTTGTTGGGTTTTATAAGTACACCCACAGAGTCGTTTTTCATCGATATTCATAACAGCTCACGTTATTTGCTCAGATTGCTCCCTTTAGTCTTTAATGTGGTATAAAATATTCAAAACACAATCCAATCTCTGCACCTACACATTAAATAACAGTCGCTCTGCCTCCTGCAGGGTGTTTTCTCAGCCATTAAACTAATCCGGTGTTCTTAATTATTTTTTTGTAGATCATTAATGAAATTTTATATTAAGTTCCTGTGAGCTGTTAAGCACAAATAGGAAGTGTTTTTGTGTGTCAGTCCTGGAGACTGTGTGTGTGTGAGAGAGAGTGTGTATGTGTGCATTTAATTCCACTCTTTTCCTTTGGTCCTCAGGTTTGTGGGTTACACTGAAGTTGCTTCCAGGTGATATTCATCAGATCCGTAAAGATTTCCCTCACCTGGTGGACCGTTCCACCGCTGTCGCTCGCAAAATGGGCTTCCCAGAAATCATCATGCCAGGTATACATCATCAAACTGTAGCTTCTGTGGATATATTTACATCACATCATGGAAAACATTTTTGAATGAGAGAAAATACTAGATTGACAATGAGAAGTCCACCCAGACCATTAATGAAAACTGAGCTGCCGAAGTGACTTGTTAAGAACTTGTCATGATGCAAATTAGCATATTACTAACCATGGCGTTATCCCTCTCACAGTTTTCCAAAGGGTTTCTCACATTTTAGCGGTTGTTGATATTAATGGACCCGAATAGTCAAGAAAAACTAATTTGGTTTACTTTTTACTTAAGAGTAAAATAAAATAAGAGTAAGCAACCACCTAAATGATGACCTTTGAATGTTCAAGCACCACTTGTTTTAGCTACTTTTGTGCATTTTCCTACAAAAGTCTAAGATTTGTATTCCAAACGGGGTGTTTTTAGCTCTAAATCATATATTGATTCTGTTATTAATTGAAAATGAGACGGTGTACATGTTTTTGCAGGTGATGTTCGTAATGACATTTACGTGACGCTGGTTCAGGGGGATTTTGATAAAGGCAGTAAGACGACACCCAAGAACGTGGAGGTCACCATGTCTGTACACGATGAAGATGGAAAGAAACTCGAGGTAATGTGTTTGAGACGAGCATTTTAATGAATAATCCAAATTCAATATTACTGAAGCTCAGTCGATAGCATTTTTAGGGATAATGTTGATTATTGTAGAAAATAATTTAGACTTAATTTGAATGAAAATAAAAAATTATGAATACATAATATAATAAAAGGCAGATAAACATGATACAATAGGCTATGTGCACACTCTTCCGCATTCGAAGTCAGCCAGCTAAGTCACATCTGGCGCACGTAGCGTCAATAGCAACCATGGCGTTTTTCACTCGGTCGCTTCAAGATGTCCCTAGGGTTACGGTCAACGACGCGAGTCAAATTATCCAAACACTGGGTCATACATAGTCAACCAAGAAGGAAAAGGGCTTCAAGCTATACGTTTCAAGCTACATCCTCCTTTTTAAAATGCGGCTACATACTCGGGTATGTTGTCCCTCCGGATATCGACAGGCCGTTTTCACCTGATTTCCGCGTCAGATGGAAATGTGTGAAAACTAAGTACTCTGTTGTACTTACTCGAGGCTTGACACAGAGGCACACAACAATGCTCAGCTGTACTGCTGTTGGTTCGCTGAAATTTAAACGTTTTCTTACTAGACATATCGTTATCGCTTGGTAAACAATCACCTCAGCGGTAGCGGAAATTGGCTTAGCTGGCTGAAATTTTAGCGGAAGTACGTCATCACCTCCGTGTGCATATAGCCTATTGCTGACTAACCTTCTCTATGTAAAGCATAGTTGCATATCAAGTAGTTGCACGTCGAAAGGCAAGATTTAGATATTTTTAAGCAATATGTATATGAACTTTTAAAACTGAGCGACATACAACTACTTGATATAATAAATGTAGATTATATTTCAAGCTCTTAAAAGCAATCCAAGAGGAAATATATAAATGCTAAAAAGTAAGGGGCCTAAAATTGAACCCTGGGGGACACCAGTATGGACCGAGCCAATCTCAGACCTGAAATACTCATAAAAACAAACTGGTGGTGATCAGAGAGAAAAGATCTAATCCAAGTTAAAATGGTGTCAGTGGCCCTGTTTACACCTGGGATTTTGGTCGATCGGGTCACAAGTGGACGACACTAAATACAGGTGTAAACGGGGTGTGAAACTTGTCCGCTTTCGACCATTTACAGGTAGTCAAACACATTTCACCGGATTGCTTTCATAGTGTAAGCGCTCATGAGGCCGAATACGTTCGAACGGCGCAAAATACTGTCTTCTCTCCGCATACTGAACTCATGTGTAAACATTACGGGAAGCCAGATGGGATTTAAACGTTGTCTGCTGAAGACCCAGGTTTGGTTTGAAGACGAAAAACCCTTGTTTGTGCTTTTTTATTGCCCACATAATATTTCTTTCTCACATACAGTCAGTCCCTCTCACCCAGTCCCTGCGCCTGTAGAGCGGCTGGTCACTTATTGCTCATAATTGGTGCCTGTCAGCTGTAGCATGTGTGTGTGTTTGTCAGGCTTTGACAGGCCAGGTGTGTGTATGTGTGTTAATGTGTATGTGTAGGTGTATGTGTGTTGAATGCTTGACCCTGACTGTGTGCAATGGTAAGAAATAAAATAAATAAAGCAAGCAGTTTTTGCTCCTTAGACCATATGGGCTCCTTATGTTTTCCAGTCGGTAGAATAAAACCTTGTTCTTTAATATTTCATATCATGTCACTTCTGATCTCAATTAGCTTCTGAATTTTGCAGGGAGTCAGATTAAATTAAATTCAGTGCAACAATTAGTTTTTTACTGGCTGGTGTAAATGCACAATGACGGAGTGATCAACGTAATGGCCTTTGGTTCCTCCTCTTTTTAAAAGCTGTTTCTAAAAATAATCTAAAAAACAAGAAATGTAATCCCAAATACACTCTACATTTGGTCTCTTCTTTGCCATCTAGAACGTGATCTTCCCTGGTGCAGGAGATGAAGGCATTCTGGAGTATAAATCAGTCATCTACTACCAGGTCAAACAGCCACGCTGGTTTGAAACCTTCAAGGTGAGCGTCACTTATACTGTCACATCTAATGTGTACTAAAATAAGATAAGATTAATTCATTTGACTCGCCCAAGTGTCAAAATACAAATGTATTCTGGGAATTTTCAGGCGTGCAATTTAAAATCCATGTTGGGATTTTCACTATCTTTAGTGGAGGTTAATAAATGCACAAAATACCATATATTAACATTTTATAATTGGACCTTAAAGGGGGATAAAAATTCATGATTTGACCCTTTTAAATGTTTAAAATCTCATAAATAGACGTTGAGCAATAAAGATTAAAGTTCAACGTAAAGGTCACAGTAACTGCCCCCTGCTTATGTGTCTGTTTTAATCCACATTTATGTCTCTTATTAATATTCAAGACCCTTTAAGGTTTTTTCCCCCCTGCCCTAGTCTCTTTCTAAGCACATCTTATGTATGTGAGATCCATCTTGTTTGTGAATTTCTTTGTTGCAGGTTGCGATCCCGATTGAAGATGTCAACAGGAGTCACCTGCGGTTCACGTTCAAACACAGATCGTCTCAGGACTGTAAGTTCAGCACACGTTCACAGCGCGTGCTTTCAGAGCTGTTTAACCAGCGTGTGGCTTACCTGCTGCCTGGAAATTCACTCTAGTAAAGTTGAAGTGTGGTTGAGGTCACAGCATGTGCTTGTCAGCAGCACTTTCCGCTGGTGGTGTCATGGTTCAGACCTCTTTAAATGTTCTCGAGCATACTTTTTCTTTCTCAGTGGGTTATTAAAATAACTTTTAACTATGACGGAGCCATTTGCATCTGAATGAGTTTGCTATTATTGAGTAGGCTGTCAGGTGTGCATTTGTGGTGCTCCGCTTTACTGTTGCTCATATGTAGGTTTAGTTATTTGAACACCAGACTACAGAGTTTTAGACTGATGCACAGCTCATCTCTTACCATTCGGTCAACAGACATGGAATTATACCTCGAATCATCCTAGCAACCACTCAGAAGTCAACTCACTAAAAAAATTCTGTACACACTCAGTAGATACTGCATAGCAACACGCCGAGAAACTAATCAGAATGCTCAAGCAACTCCATAGCTGCACTTTTTTTTATTTTTTTTTTTATTATATTTTTAAATTCATTTTATTATTTTTATTGTATTTTATTTTATTTCATAATTTTTTACTAATTATTTTACGTATCTGAAAACTGTAAACTTTGTTTTTTTAATTTGTGAAGAACTAGAGATTAGAAATAAAATATTGTTATATTATTGTTTTATTTTTTGTTGTGTTTTAATTAAATTAATTAGTTAAATGTATTATTTCATTTCATTCATTTAATTTTTAATTTTATTTATTTATTTATTTTTAATGACCGTTACTAATTATTTTAAGTATCTGAAAATTGGAAACTTTGTTTTTAATTAGTGAAGAACTAGAGATTAGAAATAAAATATTGTCATTTTTTTTGTGTGTTTTAATCAAATTTAAATTAATTTAATTTATAATTGTATTTTATTTCTTTTTATTTTTTTTATTTTTTTTTATGACCGTTACTAATTATTTTAAGTATCTGAAAAATGGCTATTTATTATTTTTATTTTTTACAGCTATGCAGTCTATCAATTGGTATATCAATTAATCAATTAATAATTTATATGCCCATACTGTCAATATATACACTCTTACAAGGCCTATTTGATTTGTGTGTTCACTTTGTTTTGGGTTATGCTTAACCTTTTAGTGGTAAATATTGGTTTAAAACAAAAAACCTTAGTAACAGCATACCAGAGCCCGAGCAACCACCCAGAATTCCCTAGCAACCACATAGCAGCACACTATATTTTGAATACTCTATTAACCACATGAAATGTAATGGCAACCACCCAGAACACCCAAGTGTTGTTGAGTTTAGCACGGGCAAATGCCTCTCATAATTTCCTCAGAAGATGTAAAAAACTGGTTTATTGTGCAGCTTTGAAGTTGTTTTCTAGCTGTTTGTTTGTGTGTTTTGCTGAGAGGGAGTTTGTGAATCATATTGGCAGTTAGTACGAGCATGTTTGAGAATCCTGGAAGGTTGTTTATGGGCCAAGAGGCGTCTGGCGTACGGCTGCGGTCATCACACTTAGCTGTGTGTGTTCAACCTTATCCTGGCAGCCGCGGCGGCTCTCCATCTGCCCACCACATGTTGCCACGGCAGCGCCAGGATGAGAGGGGTGGGGTGTTGTTGCCAGGCACTGGTTGCCAGGCGCTGGGCGAGGATGTAAAACTAATCATTTAGCGCAAACAGACAAACTGGAGCAAATAAACGTCTCGTCAGCTGATCTGATAATAAACACTATGACAGTAAGAGGGTCTCAAAGTTTCACACATTGACTGCTGATCTCAGCACAGTTGTTGTCTAGAAGTGCTGAAATGTCACATTTTTAAACAAGTTGTCATTCTGAAGATTATTTTTATGGCAGGTCTGGACTGAGTTAGTGCAACTAATAAGCATTTACTGTTCAAAAAGCCACGTTCTGTTCCCTTTTACAGTAAAGCCATAATGTTACAATATCAAATAAATGCTGTTCTTTTAAACTTTTTATTTTATGAAAGAATCCTGAAACAAAATCCACAAAAATATGAAGCAGTAGAACTGTTTTCAATATTGATGATTATCATGTTTCGTGAGCAGCAAATCAGCAAAAGCAAAACAAAAACATTAAAATTGATATCCACTTCAGATGATTTATTTCAGATCAATTCAGATTTAGTTAATTAGGTTTCCATGATTAACAAGCATTGAAATGCTGACATTGGTTTCAGATCAGATTCTGATTCACTTCACTTCGTTCATATTAAGATCAGTCCAATTTAAAGGAGAATCCATGGTCAGTTGTTTCGAAACACTGACATTTCACTTCAGTTCAATTTATAGGGATTTCTGTGATCATCTGAGCTTTTAAACACTGGCATTAAACTCAGTTTTCTCCAACAGATTGATGGTGACAGGCAGTCAAATGTCAGGGAGAATCAGTTGTCGGGATCTTCATCCCATGTCTGCCTGTCAGTTTCTTTCTTTCTGATTAAATTTTGAATGTAAAAACATGACAAATCTCATCTCCTCCTGGTTGATTCTGTCTGTTACTGCCAGAGGCTTTCTGCAGTTGTAGGGACCTGGTCCCCTCAATCCTTCTGTCCTGGTACTGCAGTGATGATGATGATGATGATGGTGATGGTCATCTCATGACCTTTCAGCCTTTCTGAGACTCTGTCCTGTGTCAGCAGGTGCTGTGTTGGCTCTGATGCAGACGATTTTGAGTTAGGAGATTCAAGTGTTTGTGTGATTTTTTTTTTCTTAGGTTGATGTTGACATTTCCATTTTGGGATGAAGTACGGGATGTTTCTTTTCTGTCAGAGAACAGAGACATTGCTGGATCTCTTGATGAAGCACACAGGCTCTCAGAGGTGTTGTCTGTCTGAAATATGCTAGAGATGGTTAGAGTCACGCTGATCTTTCTTGAGCGCTATAAGATTGTGTTTGATACAGTTGTCGATGTTATGAAAAGAGTAAAAGGAATAAGGAATACGTTTAGGTTCAGTTTAGATTAAGTTGCAGGTAGGGTTGGGTATCGTTTGAATTTTATCGATTCAGATTCTTATGATTCTTAATTTTGATTCGAATAAGGTAAAATAAAAAAACTTTCATTATCATTCACATTTATTTAGCTGAATACCATGAACAAAAGGTTTACAAATACCATAGCAAAAACAACTAGCCCAACTAATATACATTTCAAACATTATTAAACAGTCCCTCCAGGATTTCACGATTTTTTTATGTGATTTTTGCGAAAATGCAAAAATGAATGATTTTGTGGTGGTAATTTCCAAAAATTTGTGAAAAAAATTGCGATTTTTATATTTTATAATTAGGACATCACATTTACCATAATAGTATTATGTCAGATGCACAATAGTCATACATGACACAAATCACAAAAAAAATGCATAAAGCTTGTTTATTTGGTCTAATCAAATTCTTTTTAAAAAATTGTGCTGTAGCCTATTGTTGTTGCTTGATTAACATTAACAACACTGACAACAGCAGATAAATTAGGTTACTGTCACTTTAAGACCTACTACAGTAATGACAAACGTCCCAATCAGTTATTACTGATTGTTTTATGTAAATACTTGCCAAGATTAATATTTTGAAGTAATTGTAGCTATGTGTATTTGTTCAAGCGCTATAAAGAGAATTCAATATTCTAACTAGGCCGACAGGCGGTGACACGCAGTCAGTCAGTCACACACACACACACACTTGCAGTCAGAGACAGACTGTCACTCGACTGGCTGAAATTAGTTCTCTTTCACGGTATACTGCGCTTTTAAAGGGGTCATATAATGCCATTTTTGTACAAGCTAATATGATTCTTTAGGGTCTAAATTAAAAGTTTGTAATATACTTTAATTAAAAATTCTCATTAGTATTGTAAGAAAACACTTATTTTACCTGGTCAAAAACAGCTCTGTTTTCAGCACGCCGTTTCAGTGCATATGACTTTAAATGATAATGAGCTTTGCTCACCCCGCCCCTCTGTTCTATGCGTACACCGTTTGTAACACAATAACACAATAACCACGCGTTGTTCATTATAAACGTGGGATTATGAATTATATTGAGAACGTTGTACATAGAAAACATGGCGTAATGTACCCTGAGTGTAAACCGACGCATTCATCGTGAAGCGTGCAGCTGGCGATTTGCAAAGATTATATAAATATTAATATAAAGATTAATAAAACGTTACACTCACTTTAGTTCTTCTGAAGGTTCAGCAGGAAGACGAATAGGTTCCGATCCTTTATTCAGGTGCAGCTTCTCAGCAAAACCAGCTTTACACTGATCCTCGTTTATAAAGCAGTCTGGTGTGAGAAATGATTCGGCAAACATAAGAGCATTGACGTTGCTCGTGGGGAATATTCCCTTCGAAAACAAACTCAGCCACTGCGTCTTCAGCGGTTCGGATTTAGGAACATTAAAATGACTGTGTTCGTTATTACACCCAAGAGCAGAACACCACAATCGCTTTACGCCATTCTGCTCATAGACAGTGCTCCAGCATATCAACAATGACCGCGCCGGTCCGCGCAGACTATGATTGACAGGACGAGCGAGGGCGGGTCTGTGTTGAATCACTGCTGTCAATCAACAATCGCGGGAGGGGCGTCCGTTTTATTGACGTCACAAAAACGAACGGCTTGATTTGAGGCAGGGGAAAAAACATATAAGGAGATTAAAACAAAAACACTGGATGGATTTTTATCATTATATGATGGTTGTGTACAGGCACTGCCAACACACATTTCAGTACAATCAACTTGTAAAAGTGCATGTACCATTATATGACCCCTTTAATAATTCTTTTTAGTACCATCGAGCATATAATACTTTTTGTTATGTCATTTAATCATGTTAAACGCGTTAATGAGTTTGCCGTACTGCCTAATGAAAACCTGGGCGCTGAGAGGGCAGAAGAGACGCTTTTTCTTTCGCCATGTTTCTGACAGACCGCTCACAGAAATCACGCGTGCGCTACATCTATTCTGTAATCTGTACCCACGTAAAAATGCATTGAAACTTTAAATAACTAGAGATATTTCAATTGGGTGATTATAATTTAATGTTTTGTGAGGACTTTTTTTTTAATTTTTGTGATTATTTTGCGGTTAAATTAGGAATTATGCAGGATCGCAAAAAAATTCGACATTTTTTTGATTTTGCGTTGTATTCAGCGATCGCAGAATTGCGGAAAAACTGGAGGGACTGATTAAAGACAAGTAAACACTCAGTAATAAAACAAAAAATAGCAGTCTGTTAATAAATAATAAATAAACTGTTTTAGGATTTTCAGGTACAGAAACTGTAATCAACTGTACAATAACACTGCTTAACTTTTGTAACTACATTAGTAATGTATATTTTATTTATAAAGTGCAGTCAAGAACAGCGAGTTAATTTTCTCGTGGTCTTTTGTCGTTTGATTAACGTTATTATAGAGACGGCAGCAGGGATATTAGGCTGCTGTCACTTTAAGATCTAATATACTGTTACACATACATTTTCTTTGTCAACTGTTTACATCCACCTAAGACATAACCGACTGTGTGCAATGTTCTTTCTCTGTAGGCAAGGATAAATCTGAGAAGAACTTTGCTCTGTCGTTTGTTAAGCTGATGAGGTATGACGGCACGACGCTGAGGGACGGAGAACACGATCTCATCGTCTATAAGGTGAAACCAACACAATCGCCACTGTCTACAGTGCTGTGATCTCAAAACACACACACGCACACACACACACACACGCACGCATACAGAGATGTGAGTTGTGTACTGATGCTGCCTGTCCTCGATTGTCTCATTTAACCTTTGACCCCACATCACAATGTAATCATTATGCAATTAAACTTTGTTCATGTATTCAATCTATTCACATCTGCATTTTAAATAGCTTCATTAATGCAGAATGTCGCCTGGTCGAATCCTTTTTGAGTTATGAAAATGAACCCTCATACAAATCATCGCTTTACCACTGATGTGAAATCGGTTTTGAATGCTTGAGCAAATCAGTCTTTGTAAAAGTAAAATCAAATGTATTAAAAAAACAGTAACACTTTAGTTTAGTGTCCAATTCTTACTATAAACTAGTATCTTATTAGCATGCATATTACTAGGATATTGGCTACATATTAGTACTTATAAAGCACATATTAATGCCATTATTCTGCATGACCATATTCTACATCCCTTAATCCACCCAATACCTAAATTTAACAACTACCTTACTAACTATTAATAAGCTGTAGTTAGGAGTTTGAGGCAAGTTACTTAATCGTGAGAATTGGACCCTAATCTACAGTGTGACCAAATAAACAATGGAGGATTTTTTTTTTTTGTCCAAACACCACAAACATTTGTTTTAACAAGCCTTAATAATGTTTTTACTGACTGACAGCTGTCATTCATTGAAGGCATTCTTTAGTCTTCTGCAAAAGAGGTGTTGTACTCATGACTGTGTTTCTCTATTTGTAGGCAGAAGCCAAGAAATTGGAGGACTCCACCATGTACCTGAGCTTGGCCTCCACCAAACCAGAGATGGAGGAAAGAAATCCCTCGTCAGGGAAGAACACGCAGAATCTCGGCAGCTTCACCATCAGCAAAGACTCGTTTCAGATCTCAACTCTGGTGTGCTCCACCAAACTCACACAGAACGGTGAGACGCATCATTTCCCAATCCATTCTCCCCATCATTTCCTCTCATTTCTCTACTCTTCTATCAGTGAAAGTGGCCATAAGGCCACAAATAGAATAACTAGTGCTGACAAGTCAGTGTTTGCAACCATTTTACTGCAGTAGTGTGACATATTTCTGACTAAAACGGCATTTTGAAAGTTTATGACGTATACAGGAACCAGTTTTCACAATTGAATCAATTCTTTGATTAAGTCTATCACAGGTAGTTGAAAATTAGTGCTTGCTAATGTCAACCAGTGTTATTTTAGTATCATTGAGATACTATTACAGTCTTTTTTAATATATATATATTAGTGCTGTCAAATGATTAATCGTGATTAATCACATCCAAAATAAAAGTTTGTGTTTACATAATATATGTGGGTGCACTGTGTATAATTATTTTGTATATATATAAATACACACACATGCATGTATATTTAAGAAAAAAATATTATTTATATATAAAATATTTATATTTATATATAATATAAATTATATATAAATCTATATACAGTATATACATGAAAATATTTCTTAAATATATACAAGCATGTGTGTGTATTTATATATATATAAAATAATTATACACAGTGCACCCACATATATTATGTAAACAAAAACTTTTATTTTGGATGTGATTAATCACGATTAATCATTTGACAGCCCTAATATATATATATATATATATCTCAGTTTTAATATACTATATATACACTCACCGGCCACTTTATTAGGTACACCTGTCCAACTGCTCGTTAACACTTAATTTCTAAGCAGCCAATCACATGGCGGCAACTCAGTGCATTTAGGCATGTAGACATGGTCAAGACAATCTCCTGCAGTTCAAACCGAGCATCAGTATGGGGAAGAAAGTTGATTTGAGTGACTTTGAACGTGGCATGATTGTTGGTGCCAGAAGGGCTGGTCTGAGTATTTCAGAAACTGCTAATCTACTGGGATTTTCACGCACAACCATCTCTAGGGTTTACAGAGAATGGTCCGAAAAAAAAAACATCCAGTGAGCGGCAGTTCTGTGGGCGGAAATGCCTTGTTGATGCCAGAGGTCAGAGGAGAATGGCCAGACTGGTTCGAGCTGATAGAAGGGCAACAGTGACTGAAATAACCACTCGTTACAACCGAGGTATGCAGCAAAGCATTTGTGAAGCCACAACACGCACAACCTTGAGGCGGATGGGCTACAACAGCAGAAGACTCCACCGGGTACCACTCATCTCCACTACAAATAGGAAAAAGAGGCTACAATTTGCAAGAGCTCACCAAAATTGAACAGTTGAAGACTGGAAAAATGTTGCCTGGTCTGATGAGTCTCGATTTCTGTTGAGACATTCAGATGTTAGAGTCAGAATTTGGCGTAAACAGAATGAGAACATGGAACCATCATGCCTTGTTACCACTGTGCAGGCTGGTGGTGGTGGTGTAATGGTGTGGGGCATGTTTTCCTGGCACACTTTAGGCCCCTTAGTGCCAATTGGGCATCGTTTAAATGCCACGGCCTACCTGAGCATTGTTTCTGACCATGTCCATCCCTTTATGGCCACCATGTACCCATCCTCTGATGGCTACTTCCACCATGTCACAAAGCTCTAATCATTTCAAATTGGTTTCTTGAACATGACAATGAGTTCACTGTACTAAAATGGCCTCCACAGTCACCAGATCTCAACCCAATAGAGCATCTTTGGGATGTGGTGGAACGGGAGATTCGCATCATGGATGTGCAGCCGACAAATCTGCGGCAACTGTGTGATGCCATCATGTCAATATGGACCAAACTCCCTGAGGAATGCTTCCAGCACCTTGTTGAATCTATGCCACGAAGAATTGAGGCAGTTCTGAAGGCAAAAGGGGGTCCATCCCGTTACTAGCATGGGGTACCTAATAAAGTGGCCGGTGAGTGTATACCTCAGTTATAATAACTCAGATGTTAACTGAAATATTCAAGTACATTTTTATAAAGATTACAAAAACAATATTTCCATTTAGAATCACACGGAATGATCAGAAATGTCTAACAAGTAAAGAGGGCGAGTTTTGATTTCAAGTTGACATCTGTATGTTTTCTGATTTGAAGATGAGCTGTGAGGAATTGCAGATGCGGTGAGATTATTACAGTCGGATCACATACAGGATGCAGTGAAGTCCACTGCAGTCCTGACGCAATCGCTCCTTCACTCCCTCCTCTCCTCTTTAAGCATGTGTTTGTTGCTCTATGAATCTTACAGAAACTGCGTACCCATCAGCCTTTGGTCATGGTGTAGCGGCAGGCATGAATATGTACAGTGGACAGGTTCATGACTGGAGAGCACTGCGGATGTAAATCTGATGAGCAAGTTTAAAATACTGCAGGAACTTAAAATCAGAGATCGATGTCGCCGGGGGAGCATATAGTCGTCCAAGTGTAGGCCAATGAAAATAAATGCTACAGTATAAAAGAAAGAAATGAGTCCAGTGTTTCTTTCATCGATTAATCTGCAGTGCCATAGTAAACAGTTATATTGCATCCGAGTTGTGAGCTTGCAGTCTAAATTGATAGTGATAAACCAGGTTAACACAACAAAATGCAAAGACAATAAATCGATTTTTGAATGTAGTTGTCTTCTAGTTGCAAATTATTCATTTGAGCAGTTTGTCAGTGAGTCTTTCAGAAAAACTCACAGGTATTGAATCAGTCTGATGAATATCTGAGCGGTGATGAATGATGTGTATTTTTGAGCGTCCCTGATTCAACGTTTGCATGAGTTTGGGGCGGGGCTACATGTTTATCCAACCAATGGCAGACAGAGGAAGTGTTTGGGGAACCTGAAAACACTTAATGCAGATTCATTAAGTGATGCTAGTGGTGCAGACACATTTTGACTTTAAAATGTCACAATAATAGTATAATTTTTTATAGAAATCTTTTGTAACAACATTATAAATGTCTTACTGTCACTTTTGATCAATTGAAAGCATCCTTGCTAAATAAAAATATTAATTTATTTAAAATCGTACTGGCCCCATTTTGGAACAATTTATGGAAGGGGTTTCATAGAAAGTTTAAGTTGCATGATTCATTTTTTGAGCACGTTTGAATGAATGATAGTGCCTCAGTCTGCTCTGATAGACATGTTGTAAAGCACTCTTGATTCAGATACATGCGTCTGCTGAGTGATTCAGGGTCAAGCGCTGCCTGAATGCAGAGCAGCCAAGCGGTAGTGTTGCCACCATTAAGATTGAGATGCGTGAAGTCACATCAGAGAGCATGCTGGCCCTGCGACGGCAAAGATGAAGACTAAATATACGTGCGAGGGTGAGATGGAGTGAAGTCGGCATCAGAAATAGCCTCGGTTAGTGCATGTGCTTCAGACCAGAGCAGGTATGAGGAGGAGACGGACCACTGGGTGAAAAATGAGCGAGAGAACGTGCAGTGTTTATGGTGAAAGAATGTCCTGACTTTTAGAATAAATGCTTGAGTAAATGCTGAATTCAAGATGTGAACTCTTTATGGTGTGTTTAAGCTGGTAATGCACATTCTAGGGTGGACAGTAGGGGTGTAACGATACACAAAATTGACGGTTCGGTTTTCCCACGGTTTTGACGTCTCGGTTCGGTTCGGTTTAGAAAGCTAAAATTGCTTCTTTTTTTTTTTTTTGGTTAAACAGTGGTTTAACGAAAAAATGGTCTTTCTTTAAATTAATTCAATTACAATTAAACGTTTCACAAGGATTAAAAAAAAATCTGCTAAATCTGTAAACTATATAGGGAGCCGCACATTACTATAACATTAAAGGTTGTAGCCTAGACTTTTAACCTAAATTCAGATGCTATTTATTTTTTAGATATAATAAACAACACACAACACATTGTATGAAAACATGTAAACTGAACATAAGGCAGTTTTTGCATTAACTTGTGTTTTTACTCTAATTTGTTATTGAAATATAATACTTTACACAGTTTTCATTTTCATGAAAGATATTTTAAACATACATTAAATAATCAAGATATCATTAACAGGTTAAGTAAAATATAATATATAGGCTAACATGCTGCATTTATTTAGTGCAAGAGTTCATTTATAGGAACCAAAGTTGTGGACACTGAATCACTTGCCTGCTGAGGTACATATAATGCTAGTGACAAGCTATGCTGTTTTATTGACGTCTTTCCGCTGCTGAAACACTGATTGAGCGATTACACGAGTTATGATGCCTTTCAGTAAGTATACTGCATCTTTCAACAAACCTTCAGGTGTCCATTCTGTAACTGAGGAAGAGATGATCGCGTTTACCCGCGCGCCGCGCTGCCGTTTGAAATGAGGAGCTAAGTAGGCATACAGCGATCTGTCACGCCACATCTAAGAGCGCCAAAACGCCATTTATTGTTTGAATTTCGTGATCAAATAGACAGAATTTGAAAGATTACACCTTGCTTATTATCGAAAGTAACAAAACACGGAGCTTGTTATTTGGTGTTAATGGTGGTTATTAGGCTAGTTCGGTACGCAATGAGAGTATCGCGATTCGAATCGTGTGTTCTGTATCGCGGTTTTTCGGTTCGGTTCGAATATCGTTACACCCCTAGTGGACAGACAAGTTCAAGTTCGTTTATTTCTAGAGCACATTTACTACCGGCTTTGGCCGACCAAAGTGCTGTACAACAATCACAATACAATACACATTGCACCAACAACCTTCCTATCGTCAGTCAAAATATGGTGCAAAAAAAAAAAAAAAAAAAAAAAAAAAGGTAAATTTAAAAACAAAAAAAAAACAACAACAAAAAAACAAGTAGATTACATATTAAAAGCTAATCCAAACAAATGAGTTTTTAGCGCTGTTTTAAACTGGAAATGGAAGCCCTCTTTTTCAAGCGGGTTCTAGGAATAAGAAGGAGGGATTTGTTTCCTGATCTCAATTCTCGATTTGGAGTATATGGGTGAAGTAAATCCGATAAATAAGTTGGTGCAAGATTGTTTAAGGATTTGTAGACTAGTAGTAACATTTTATAGTCAATTCTATATATTGAACAGGTAGCCAGTGAAGGGAACAGACGTTCCTGCTTTTCTGTTTTCAGTGTCCTGTCCTCGACTGGAGCTGTCCCTATTTAACAACACATTCACAATAAAAGCTAGTCGAAATGAGATCCTATTATAGTTCTTAATATTTTTAACAATTTAAAAAAAGATTTATTTTAATTTAAGTTTAAGTAATTCTGTTGTGTTTTTGTCTATTTTAATATGACCGTTTATTCTTTTTCTAAGACAGACACACGCGCACACACACACACACACACACACAAAATCCCAAATATGCCTAATTATGGAGATGAAAGATCCTTTTCTAAAAGCACAAACATAAAATTACATTTGAGATTTTTTTTATGAAAATATTAAATTAGAAATATATTTGTTAAACAGTTTAATTATTCATATGTTCTCAGATTTATTTTGTAACCTGTTTTGTGAAATCATAATTTTATATAATGTAATACATAATTTAGCTTTTTGCAATTGTTTCTATTTACTATTTTTAATAGTGTGATTTTTGGTGAATTGTATTAAAACCAGTTAAAGGTAGTTTGACCCACGTGCATAATAGAATGAATAATAACAAAATGGAACCAACAACAATAAAAAAAATGGAAAGCATACGAAAATATTGTGTCCTTTTTTTAATTTTATATATTATAATTACATAGATATTTTAACCACTGATCCAGGAAATGCTTCCCATTCTTTCTCTTTTTCTGCCAATGTTAAGTAGTGAGAAATAAGTGCACTAAACTTCGCAACAGTTGCTGATCTTTGATGTAAATCAGCTTGTGCTTCTGAGACACTTTGAGACACTTAAAAGCGAAGCTAGCAAACACTTGACTGGCGTCAGAATGCCAAGATGTTTTCTGCTCTAATTTCAAAGCTCCCCTGCTACACGAAGACACAAGCAGCAAGAACCATTGATACGCCTCACGCTATGCACTGTGCATGTGCAATCTGAAAGCTTTATAGGCCATCTTTATCCCCGCCGGACAACAAAATAATTCCTCTCACATAGCGCTATGAGGCAGTCCGTGCTTGCGAATTGATTACAGAGGTGCTAATGACTTGCGTGACTATTAGCGTGTGGTTTTACGCGACCCCTGAGCCACGGGGCAAGTTTAGACGGAGCTTTAATGAAGACCTTTGTCAAAAATCTCAGTTCGGCAGGTAGCAGATGAGGTAATGAGGTCGCTAAGGATTCGTCAGATGGAAGACATTAGCATATAAACACAGGTTGTGATTGTTGTTGGCCACAGAAGCTCTTTTCCCCCTGTGAGGCCTTGTCCATCAATGCCGACTTTGTTTTCTTTTTATAACACATTAAAAGTAAAATAGCTAGGCTCTTAATATCACATCGAGCCACAGAATCCCGCTGTTCTGCTACACCAACAATTTCTGGTTTCTGCCTCATCGCAGGTAGAAATCAATAGGAAATGCTGGAGCGCTGGTGAACGTGCGTTTTATGGTGTCTGTTTGACTTCATTTTTTTGTGCATCCTGGTTTGTGAAGTAAACTTCCTTTGAAGAGCATTCTGAACATTGAAACCTTTCTCGACCAATAAGAGCGAGGGATGAGTCTTTTTTAAATAATGGCAGCACCGCTCACTTTTCCAATGGCCTGACAGCTCTTTCTGTCTCTGATTCTTATTAAACCCACAGGCTGGGGTTGTAAATGTTGGGATCTTTAACTCTCTGAAACGTCTCTCCCACACAGCCACACTTCCTGCTGATATGATATGATGATATGAAATCTCAGTCTCTGCTGTTCTTCTGCTCACATCCTCTTCTTTATTTTATTATGCAGCACACTGGACTTTATTCTGATTGGGCAATTGTGGCATTCTGTGGCAGAATATATTTGTTTAATTAATGCTTAATTGATCATTATCCTATGAAACTGCTTGTGTCAGGATCCTGATTACCTGTTAGGATTTATGATGTTATAACGACCGGTTGACTGTACATTGAAAAGACTTGATATTAAATATTAATTGGCCAAGACAATGTAAAATGTAGGCTTCCTGTTTGATTGTTTTTTAAATGACATTTTATAGATTTAAATAATGGTTGAGTAATTGTATTTAGTTTTTGTTATAACATAATAAAATTAAAATATATTACTTTCATTATCATTCAACATTTAATAATATTTAATGAAGAAGTTCTATATAAATGATTCAATTATTTGTAGTTGTATTTATAAATTATATAATAATAATAGTAATAAGAAACATATCATTTAAATGGTTTTGTGTCAATCTCTCTCTATGACAGCCCTTCAAAACACAATCCCTTGTCTCGTCACATTACGTCATTTCAGGTCACAGCACTTGTTTTCAAATGCTTGCTGGAATGCCTCATTTCAGGTTAAAAAGTCAGTCATTCCTGTTGCCATGACGATCACCATGGGAGCTGCTCAAACGGTGTTGAGAGTTCCCAAGGGAACCATATGAACTGTGCAACTCTCCATATCTCATACAGGTGCCAAGCGGCACAATCCACATGAGTCTATCCCAGTGCGTCATCGCTTTAACAGCTTATTCCTGTGTGATTCAACCAATAAAGGAAGTAAAATTAAGAATCATTTAAAGAGCATTTGCGACCTCATGAATCATTACGGGTCATTCCCTCTGGCTATGAACTCTGATTGATAAACTGCTTTATAGGTTCATATTTGCCAGATTTCCATTTTCTCCTATCATTTTGCAACAACAAACTTTAACCGCGGTAGAATCAATTTTACCTAAAGCCTGTCATGGCTTATGGCTTCATCAGCCAGGCTGAGAGCTCATGAGATTCATATGTCTGTTTGGGCTAATGAACTATGTACTAATGAATGTTTAATGTCCAGGTTAGAGAGGTGAGTGTGCTAATGCTGTTTTTCTTCGGTCTCCTGTAGTTGATCTCCTGGGGCTTCTGAAGTGGAGGTCCAACACTAGTTTACTACAGCAAAACCTGCGTCACCTGATGAAAGTGGAAGGAGGGGAGGTGGTAAAGGTGTGTATAAAGCCTCTGACGGAAAGAAGAACAAACTCACACAGCTTTCATTCAGACTGCCGTCTGGATTCATGCAGAAATGTGTGCTGCTGACGTAAAATCCCACTAGTGTAAACGTTTGAAGTTGGTGTGGAGACTTGTGCTTTGATTTATGATATGAAATTAAGAATGAAAACTCTGCTGTACTTCAAAAGCTTTTTGCTTATTAGTTTTTAGTTAGTTTTTTTTTTTTTTAAGGAAACCAGCAAAAAATGCTGAGATATTTATAGAAATTGCATTTCCAAAAGTGTTTTCAGTATGGTGTGCTCTCGGATCTGTGAAATTATCGAAATGCTGTATATGGATAGCACATGTTTATATTGCAAGGTCCTCACTATTTGCACTCAACAACAAACATATTGTGCGACCAGTTGTAGTCTGATTTGAACAAATTACTTTTATGGACCGGTTCCTTTCATGAATGGGCCAGAAAGCACTATGAAATAGTCTCAGTTATCACTTTGACTCACTCAAGTCACTCAAAAAAGTCACTCAAGTCACTAAAAAAAAAGTCACTCAAGTCACTAAAAAAAAAGTCACTCAAAAAAAAGTCACTCAAGTCACTGATTCACTCAAAAAAAGTCACTCAAAGAAATCACTCAAAGAAGTCACTCAAAGAAAGTCACTCAAAGAAAGTCACTCAAAAAAGTCACTAAAAAAAAGTCACTCAAAAAAAGTCACTCAAAAAAAGTCACTCAAGTCACTCAAAAAAAATCACTCAAGTCACTAAAAAAATCTCTCAAGTCACTAAAAAAATAATCACTCAAGTCACTCAAAAAAAAGTCATTCAAGTCACTAAAAAAAAAGTCACTCAAGTCACTAAAAAAAAGTCACTTAAAAAGTCACTCAAAAAAAGTCACTCAAGTCACTAAAAAAAGTCACTCAAGTCACTAAAAAAGTCACTCAAGTCACTAAAAAAAATCACTCAAAAAAAGTCACTCAAGTCACTAAAAAAGTCACTCAAGTCATTAAAAAAAGTCACTCAAGTCACTAAAAAAAATCACTCAAGTCACTCAAAAAAAGTCACTCAAGTCACTCAAAAAAAGTCACTCAAGTCACTAAAAAAGTCACTCAAAAAAAGTCACTCAAAAAAAGTCACTCAAGTCACTCAAAAAAAAGTCACTCAAAAAAGTCACTCAAAAAAAGTCACTCAAAGAAATCACTCAAAGAAGTCACTCAAAGAAAGTCACTCAAAGAAAGTCACTCAAAAAAGTCACTCAAAAAGTCACTCAAAAAAAGTCACTCAAAAAAAGTCACTCAAAAAAAGTCACTCAAAAAAGTCACTCAAAAAAAGTCACTCAAAAAAAGTCACTCAAGTCACTCAAAAAAAGTCACTCAAGTCACTAAAAAAATCTCTCAAGTCACTAAAAAAAATCACTCAAGTCACTCAAAAAAAGTCATTCAAGTCACTAAAAAAAAGTCACTCTAGTCACTAAAAAAGTCACTCAAGTCACTAAAAAAAGTCACTTAAAAAACATCACTCAAAAAAAGTCACTCAAAAAGTCACTCAAAAAAAGTCACTCAAGTCACTAAAAAAGTCACTCAAGTCACTAAAAAAATCTCTCAAGTCACTAAAAAAAAATCACTCAAGTCACTCAAAAAAAGTCATTCAAGTCACTAAAAAAAGTCACTCTAGTCACTAAAAAAAGTCACTCAAGTCACTAAAAAAGTCACTCAAAAAAAGTCACTCAAAAAAAGTCACTCAAAAAGTCACTCAAAAAAAGTCACTCAAGTCACTAAAAAAGTCACTCAAAAAAAGTCACTCAAGTCACTAAAAAGTCACTCAAGTCACTAAAAAAGTCACTCAAGTCACTAAAAAAAATCACTCAAAAAAAGTCACTCAAGTCACTAAAAAAGTCACTCAAGTCATTAAAAAAAGTCACTCAAGTCACTAAAAAAAATCACTCAAGTCACTCAAAAAAAGTCACTCAAGTCACTCAAAAAAAGTCACTCAAGTCACTAAAAAAGTCACTCAAAAAAAGTCACTCAAAAAAAGTCACTCAAGTCACTCAAAAAAAAGTCACTCAAAAAAGTCACTCAAAAAAAGTCACTCAAAGAAATCACTCAAAGAAGTCACTCAAAGAAAGTCACTCAAAAAAGTCACTCAAAAAAAGTCACTCAAAAAAAGTCACTCAAAAAAAGTCACTCAAAAAAAGTCACTCAAGTCACTCAAAAAAAAGTCACTCAAAAAAGTCACTCAAAAAAAGTCACTCAAAGAAATCACTCAAAGAAGTCACTCAAAGAAATCACTCAAAAAAGTCACTCAAAGTCACTCAAAAAAAGTCACTCAAAAAAAGTCACTCAAAAAAAGTCACTCAAAAAAAGTCACTCAAAAAAAGTCACTCAAAAAAAGTCACTCAAGTCACTCAAAAAAAGTCACTCAAGTCACTAAAAAAATCTCTCAAGTCACTAAAAAAAATCACTCGTCACTCAAAAAAAGTCATTCAAGTCACTAAAAAAAGTCACTCTAGTCACTAAAAAAGTCACTCAAGTCACTAAAAAAAGTCACTCAAGTCACTAAAAAAAAGTCACTCAAAAAAAGTCACTCAAAAAAAGTCACTCAAAAAGTCACTCAAAAAAAGTCACTCAAGTCACTAAAAAAGTCACTCAAAAAAAGTCACTCAAGTCACTAAAAAAAGTCACTCAAGTCACTAAAAAAGTCACTCAAGTCACTAAAAAAAATCACTCAAAAAAAGTCACTCAAGTCACTAAAAAAGTCACTCAAGTCATTAAAAAAAGTCACTCAAGTCACTAAAAAAGTCACTCAAAAAAAGTCACTCAAGTCACTAAAAAAAGTCACTCAAGTCACTAAAAAAGTCACTCAAGTCACTAAAAAAAATCACTCAAAAAAAGTCACTCAAGTCACTAAAAAAGTCACTCAAGTCATTAAAAAAAGTCACTCAAGTCACTAAAAAAAATCACTCAAGTCACTCAAAAAAAGTCACTCAAGTCACTCAAAAAAAGTCACTCAAGTCACTAAAAAAGTCACTCAAAAAAAGTCACTCAAAAAAAGTCACTCAAGTCACTCAAAAAAAAGTCACTCAAAAAAGTCACTCAAAAAAAGTCACTCAAAGAAATCACTCAAAGAAGTCACTCAAAGAAAGTCACTCAAAGAAAGTCACTCAAAGAAATCACTCAAAAAAGTCACTCAAAGTCACTCAAAAAAAGTCACTCAAAAAAAGTCACTCAAAAAAAGTCACTCAAAAAAAGTCACTCAAAAAAAGTCACTCAAGTCACTCAAAAAAAGTCACTCAAGTCACTAAAAAAATCTCTCAAGTCACTAAAAAAAATCACTCAAGTCACTCAAAAAAAGTCATTCAAGTCACTAAAAAAGTCACTCAAGTCACTAAAAAAAAGTCACTTAAAAAACATCACTCAAAAAAAGTCACTCAAAAAGTCACTCAAAAAAAGTCACTCAAGTCACTAAAAAAGTCACTCAAGTCACTAAAAAAATCTCTCAAGTCACTAAAAAAAAATCACTCAAGTCACTCAAAAAAAGTCATTCAAGTCACTAAAAAAAGTCACTCTAGTCACTAAAAAAAGTCACTCAAGTCACTAAAAAAAAGTCACTCAAAAAAGTCACTCAAAAAAAGTCACTCAAAAAGTCACTCAAAAAAAGTCACTCAAGTCACTAAAAAAGTCACTCAAGTCACTAAAAAAAGTCACTCAAGTCACTAAAAAAAGTCACTCAAGTCACTAAAAAAGTCACTCAAGTCACTAAAAAAAATCACTCAAGTCACTCAAAAAAAGTCACTCAAGTCACTAAAAAAAAGTCACTCAAAAAAAGTCACTCAAAAAAAGTCACTCAAAAAAAGACACTCAAAAAAAGTCACTCAAAAAAAGTCACTCAAAAAAAGTCACTCAAGTCACTAAAAAAAAGTCACTCAAGTCATTAAAAAAAAGTCACTCAAGTCACTAAAAAATCACTCAAGTCACTAAAAAATCACTCAAGTCACTCAAAAAAAGTCACTCAAGTCACTCAAAAAAAGTCACTCAAGTCACTAAAAAAGTCACTCAAGTCACTAAAAAAGTCACTCAAGTCACTAAAAAAAATCACTCAAGTCACTCAAAAAGTCACTCAAGTCATTAAAAAAAAAGTCACTCAAGTCACTAAAAAAAGTCACTCAAAAAAAGTCACTCAAGTCACTAAAGTCACTCAAGTCATTAAAAAAAGTCACTCAAGTCACTAAAAAAAATCACTCAAGTCACTCAAAAAAAGTCACTCAAGTCACTCAAAAAAAGTCACTCAAAAAAAGTCACTCAAGTCACTAAAAACAAATCACTCAAGTCACTAAAAAAAAAAGTCACTCAAGTCACTAAAAAAAGTCACTCAAGTCACTCAAAAAAGTCACTCACTCGATTCAATGCAGATTGCTTTATTGGCATGCCATACTTATGTACATATAGCCAAAGAATTGCTCAAAGCACAAAAAAATCAAACAAACAAAGCCATGCATTCATTTATATTTATTTATACGCATATCAATCTCACTCACTCAGTCACTCACTCAACCAATCGACCAACTGACCGACTGACCGACCACATTGTGAGATGTATATCAACTTATTTACTGACTGGTTGTTCATATAGTTAGAACTACACATTCTAAGTAGTGATTTTGTTGTATTAAATGGAACTTAAATACTATGAACTGTTCATTTAAAAACCCCTCTAAGATAAGGCCGAGCTCAGTTGATTTCCGTGAGCTTTTCCCTCATGGATCATGCGTTTGAATGCCAGTTTGCTCCCGAAGGCGTTGTCTCGTGATTTCTCTTGCCGCTGTGAAGGCAAACACACTCGAGCTGTCAGCGGCTTAGAGAGAGAAAGATGGAGGCAGAGACGTTCTGTGCTGTAAATGTCCCCTCAACCTCCCTGTAACATAGTTTGCAGCCTTTCTGCCATGTCATAAAAAAAAAAAATATATAAAACGTCCAGCCAGAACGATAGTGGCAGGTCTTTCAGTCCGTATATCACTGGTTTACTTTCTTAGGGTGTTCACAGTTGTAGTTCGGTTCTTTGGTCCTGACCAAAAAAAAACAAACAAAACATTTAATCCTGGTCCGCTTAGCGTTTACATTGGCATTTTAACACCAAACCTAAAGATACCGAACCTAAAGGCATAGGCATATGTTCACATCCTGATTGGCTGGCTTTTATTATGTATATTCACGCCAGAACTTACCGAAACATCCAGAACAATGCTGTGTTCTGGGTTAAATGCGCTCGTTGTATGTGTATAGCATACATTTGATGAGATTTTGATCAGCTGGGAACTCGTGAAGAGCTTATAAAATGTGTAAAGGAGTCAAAACAGTGGCAGGAATCCCTCCATCACACACACACAAACACAGATCTGCAGCGACGAGACGCGGTTCTGACGCCTCTACTGAACTGTGATCGGCAACATCACGACTATGATGAGAAAAAACAGCAATGCTTGAGCATTCGGTCCTTTTTAGGGTCACATCTGGTGACATCATGTCCCGGTTTTGGTTCGTTTACATGTCTTTGGTCCGGGTTGTGTTCATATTTCAGTCGAACCGCACCAGAGTTCGTTTGGAAGCCGACAGAGACTCATCTTTTCAGTGTCTCGGTCCACTTGTTTGGTGTCACCAGGGTTCAGACGGCAGCGTTCACACTTATTCATATGAACCGCACTAACAGAGCAATCGCACCAGAGTTCCTTTTAATCCAACCAAACATGCCAAGTGTGAACACACCCTTAATGCATGTTGCAAATGGGTTGCGAATGCGGTTTCATTTTAACTTGGTAACACTTTACAATAAAGTTCAGTTTATTTGTTTTTTTTTTTAATAATGTTTTCCCAAAGTCTCTTATCCTAGTATGTTCTGGCAGGTTTCATCCTTCAAATGGCAGACAATAAATAAACCAGGTGTAAAAGCTTTTCTTAAAACACCATTCCTGCAGATGTTTTCTCCAGTGCATTTATAGTGAAGTAAGTGATCCGTGCCATAGGGTAGATTTTGAAGAAAGCACTGTCAGGAGCACAAAGACGATTGCACTGCATTATTACGTCCTCTTCGCAGCTTTCATGCGGCATGTCCGCACTGTCCGCGGAAATTCAATTCCTAACTTGGCAGTTATAGGAAGGTGTTTTAGCACACGGCGTGAGGAAAGTACATAATCATGTTGAGTGGGACGTCTGCCGGAAACATTAAGGGAGGTCTTTCTCTCATTCTCTGTGGTGAGTGGTGAATTATTCACTTTGTTTCTGGCCAATAAATGGACTGATGTGTGTGTGTGTGTTGAGAAACACTCACAGGAGCACCTACAATTAGAGTGTGTGATCTCCATATTAGCAGATGTTTGAATTAACAGCATCAGGCCACCCAACGACAACTCTCATATATTTAACCACACATGAGACTTCAATAGCTTATTTAAAAATAAAATTAAAAAAAACAATAAAATAAAATAAATAGAATAGAAAAATAGAATAGGAAAGTAATGCAATTTATCTGTTGTTGGGCCTGGTCCCAAATATTTGTTTGTAGACACACACACACACACACACACACACACACACACACTTATATATGATCGCTAAATTCTTTTTGATTCTCATTACGAGTGTTAATTATCGAATTTGTTCACATTTCCATAACCAAAGCATACTTAATCTTCACAGAAAGAACCTCACGAGAGCGTGTTGATGTTATAATATCATCTCTGTTTCCTCTCCTTTTCATTAGAATAATTATCCTCCACCTTCCTCCATCACCTGCACTTTTTTTGATTGCTTTCTGAGTTATGTGTAGACCTCATGTGAGCGGTGGCATCTTTAACATGCCGAATCTCATCTCAGACTGAAGACAGATTTATGACCGTTATAGACTTTCGACGTCCTGTATCTGTTGCGGCTTGTTCTGTTCTGAATATATGCAGCACCTTCAGTGCCGTTAGTGTGAGCTTTTATTTATTCCCCTCAAGGGCACATTCTTCCTCTCCTTGTAGTGATCGTAACCAAAGGCCATGTAGCAGATGTGCCAAACACCGTGATAAAAACATACACTCACGCTCAGAAAATATCAGCATTGAAATGTTTTCACACTGAACTAGTTACTGCAGTGCTTGTGCGATTTATATTTACATTGTGCTTCTAAAAAGATCCCTGAGAACACTTTCTTGAAACCTTGACCTTGATTTATTATAACTGTTATAATTATGAGAACATGCCATTTTCTGAATGCTCTGACTTTGTGAAATACTATTGATATTACGTAGATAAAAGGATGAAGCAGAGAGAATGAACATGTTGTTTCAGGTTCTGAGATGTAGGCACACACAGGCCTGTACTGTATAGCTGGATCTGAGCTGCCGTGATGTCCTTGCTCGATTGTCATTGAGCATCAACTGAATGACAGCAGACATTAAAGTGGACAGCATGTGGTTTACATTGAGAGTCCATGAAGCTGACAGCATATCGGTTTTCACATTTCCTCGCTTTCTGTAAAGACACACACCGTACTGTGATGGCCAATTTGGTCTTGTAATCTGTGTGTTTGTGTGTTCAGTTTCTGCAGGACACTTTGGACGCCCTCTTCAACATTATGATGGAGAACTCGGACAGTGAAACGTTTGACACTCTTGTGTTTGATGCTCTGGTAAGATTGTCATAGTCTGTGCTTCAATCAATTATGCACAAATTAAAAATAAAATATGGACATTATTTCAGTCCTTAAATCTTACAACCTGGGTGACTTTCATTTTAAATAAACCTATTGTTTATAATCTGATATCTGAATATCTTATAATGATGATAAAATGCTGTTATTAGAAGAGATACTATTAGTATTATTAATAGGCGTGTTTCTTTCCTGTTGCCCTAACATGTGATATTTTATTTGTTTTAAATGGTAAGATTAATATAGGTACTGTCTACATATTTTAACAGCTCATTTTATATTATATTAATATTTTAATATGTTTTATAAATGACAAAAGAGTGTTATTAGCACTTATATTGAAAAAATTAATAAGATCTGATTCATTTTTATTTATTTATATTTAAGATAAGAATTTATTATTATTATTTTATTTATTATCTAAATAGTTATTATTATTATCTTATTTATAAATAAGAATTGTAAGAATAAGAATTATATTTTTGTTACATTTACATTGTTACATTTTGTCCCCAAGCCCCCCCCCCCCCCCCCCCCCCCCCCCAACTATTTAATGTTTTAGTTTTGAAATAACAGGATTAACTTAGGAAAACATATATTTGCATAATGTTAACACTCAGCCCGATTCTATAGTGTCATGCTAAATTATATTAATATTTTTATATATTGCAATACCATATTATCAGTACTTCTACTAAACATTAATTTGTTTAATATTTAACAATCATTAATTTAGAGCTAATTAATTTAGAGCTTTTAATATTTGATATTAATGTTTTAATATGCATGTTTTTTTTTGTTTTTGTTTTAAACAACCTCTCTTTTTTTCTGGGTCTGAAAGGTCTTCATTATTGGACTGATCGCAGACAGGAAGTTCCATCATTTCAATCCGGTTCTGGAGACCTACATCCGCAAGCACTTCAGTGCCACCCTTGCTTACACGTGAGCGGGAAATAAAGGAATGCTTCTGTCACTGTGTTAGTATGTGCTTTGTTTTTATTTATAACACTGTGTGTGTGTGTGGATATTTTTTAGAAAGCTGACAAAAGTCCTGAAGAACTATGTGGATAATGCGGAGAAGCTCGCGGAGCAGCTGCTGAAAGCTCTGAAAGCTTTGGATTACATCTTCAAATTCATCGTGAGGTCCCGGGTTCTCTTCAACCAGTACGTACTTCCTTCACAGTCGTATCTCATGTTTTGTTTTGTTCATCCTACATCTGAATTTTTAAGCGCATCACACCCAAATCCGTGAAGTTTTACTTTTATTATGAATTAGGGAATCAAGGGGAGGTTGGTTAGCTTCAGCAGTAAATATTAAAGCATCATTTCCATTGGTGGCCATTAAGAAATATAATGAAAATGTTGTGGTTTTTATTTTGGTTCCTGCAAAAAATTACTTTTGGTGCAACATGTTTAATGTGATGCTATATATTAGGGCTGCAGGATCTATCGAAATCTTGATGTGTCTTTGTGCAATTATCAAATCAAAAAAGCTTTGATTTAATGAAATTATATATATATATATATATATATATATATATACATGCTGAAAATAAGTCTACGATGACTATGACAACAACTACGACGACTACTACTAGTTTTTTTTTATATCCCTTACTACCACCTCCACCACCACTACTACGACTATGACGACGACTACTACTACTAGTTTTCCCTAACAACTACTACTACCACCACCACCACTACTACTACGACCACTATTAAGACTGATTACTACTACTACTATTGAGACTACAACCACTATTAAGAATACTACTAGTTCTTTTTTTATTTCCCTAACAACTACTACTACTACCACCACCACTACCACCACCACCACTACTACTACTATGACGACTACTACTACTAGTTCTTTTTTTATTTCCCTAACTACTACTACCACTACCACCACCACTACTACTACGACCACTATTAAGACTGATTACTACTGCTACTATTGAGACTACAACCACTATTAAGAATACTACTACTACTACTACTACTAGTAGTATTAAGACTACTACATCTACTACTACTACTACTACCACTATTAAGACTGACTATTACTACGATTATTATTATGATTACTATTATGACGATCACTACTACTACTACTACTACTACTACTACTACTACTAATAATAATAATAATGACAATAATAATAATTTTGTGGTGGTGGAGATTCCCCCCTTCCATATGTTAAGCTCTATATAAATGTAATATTATTATTAATATTAATATATTTCTCTTAGTACACATTGACTTTGTTATTATGTTTATATTTATTTTTATGATATTATTATTATTATTATTATTATTTTTAGTAGTAATATTGATATTATTTTTTAACCATATTTAAATATAATCTCACAACAAAGCACAGTAAACCTGTATTATTTTTAAAAAATCTTTATTTTATTTTATTGTTTTAAAGTTGCAATTAGATTTTTTTTCCTCAAATCGTGTAGCCCAACTACATATATTGTGCATTAGTAGACAAGTGGCAAAAAGCAAAAATAATAAATGGTGGCGTATCAACAGATACTCAAACTTTGTTTTATTTCCTCCTCCTTAAACTCAGTTTCCCAGCCAATAAGCTGCAGTTAAGGCTAAGAAATGTGACAGTTTGATTTAATGGGCAGATCTGAAATGCCACACCTTTATCAAACTGAAGTGCCCTTGTTTCCTGACGGATGTGAGGATGTGTGTGTGAGGCAGGAAGTGGAAGAGCCAGCGGTGCTGATTTAGGGAGACGGAGGACATGTTGAGTAATGACTCGGCCTAAATTAAGTTCAGCGCTGGTGATTAGCTTGTTGTCTGCGGGTGAAGTATATGATGGTGTCTCTCAGGCCCGTCTGAGGAGAGGATCTCGCTCTTAACTACCTGAACATCCAGAGCACCTGACACCACAGAGCGCTGTGAAAGACACTAATGAGGAGAGTCTAATCTGATTTACTCACAGGCTTAACCTGCTCGCGGTGTTCACCAACTCACGAACCCGACCGCACACGTCTTCTAGTCGGAGATCCGCTAGGCAGGGCTTCAGACTGCAATGAATATGATGAGAGATATGACAAAACATAAATAATACGATTGAGTAGCTATTGGTGTCAAGACTGTTAAACTGGTGTCAAATATGAATCAATTTCAATGTTTGCTGCAGCCCTGTTCAGCATGATTCTTATAACCTTTTGAAATCAGCATAAATACATTTATTTATTTATTTATTTTGGATGCTGATTGAAATCAATAACTTATGATTTTGAAAAAAAAGTTATTTTTTTTTATTTTTTTTTATTTTGCATTGTCCTTTTTCATAAAAATTAAGCACATTTATGTCAATATCATCTCATTACTGTAATTAATATGATTGTTTTAATAAAATGATCATAAACTACAATACATACTACCATGACATTTACTTACAATAGTACTTCAATTTTTGTTATTTTATTACAACGAGTTCATAATTTTTTCATGTTTTTGTGGTTGTGCAAAAAAAAAACAACAACATATATATATTGGGATGAAATATGACCTTGGCACTTATTTATGCAAAATATAATATCTTATATTTTGTTTGATTTTACGGTGAAATATGATCTCAATATTTCTTTACAGTTTTCGTGAGATTTGTTTTTAATCTTTAAAAATAATGCAGTTCTGCCATATGCTCCCTGTATTGTTGTAATTTATGGGTATAAAGCACTTCAAGATAATTAATGGTCAACTGGAGCGTGAAGAATATTTCAATATATTTGACGGGCCATTAGTTAAGTGTGTGTGTGTGTTTTGATGGAGGGCTGGTCTAATGTAAATGCTCTGGATGAGGGTGAGAATGTCTGACTTCAGAGCACACAGAGTCAGGTAGGGCTAATCACATGAGAAAGGGTGCGTTTAATGAATGCATGAACGTGGAAATTCTCCTGGTGTTTGTGTGGATCGCTGGAGTGATGCCGAGAAGGCCCGTCAGCTCTTGCCCTTCAAACTAGATTACAGAGCAATTCATCAGTCTGATCAGCCTGTAATCAGGAGCTAGTCTAGAGGTGCCAGTGAACAGGTGTGTGTGTGTGTGGAGTTTGATGCATTGTTTTTGATGTGGATTTGTATGGCTCCGGCTAGTTTGATGTCATGGATTTGCATACCAAACACATGTAGACCGGTCTGTTGGCTCTCTGAAGATTTAGATGAAATGATTCTCGCCGCCCAAGCCCCTGATCATCAGCTGTTTGTGTGTTTTCCTTCAGGCTCTACGAGAACAAAGGCGAGAGTGATTTCATGGAGTCCCTGAGGAATCTCTTTACTTCGTTTAACTCCATGATGAACAGCAGTGCTGAGGGGACCGGCGGGGTCAAGGTGAGACCACTTTAGGAACCGGTTTCTGATCAGCTGAACATTTAAACGCTGCATTAGTAGAGCATAGGGGTGGAACGGTACATGTATTCGTATCGAACCGAAACGGTACGGGCGTCACGGTTCGGTGCACGAATTTGCACGGAGAATACACGGTACAAAAAAACCCCTCTTAAATAGCGATAAATTTAACTTTATTCGCTTTTGGTGTGACTGTGAACGCAGGCTGCGATCAAGACTGTGATCAAGATTGCAATGCTGGAGTGTGTGTGCGCGATTAACAGTATGTGTGTGTGTGCGCGCGCGTGTGCGAGAGAGAGAGGCGCGGGCGCGAATCGCGCGATCGAACTGTGTGTGTGTGTGTGTGTGCGTGTGCGCGCGCGAGAGAGAGAATGATCTCTCCTGCGCAATCGAACAGTGGAAACATAAAAACATACTCCGTCATTTTTTTTATACAGGACATCATTAAAACTGCAAATTGTTACTTATATTTGTACACGCTCGCAATAAAACACTACATTGTGCTTTTGTCACACTCTAAACTCTTATCAAACTGTAACCTACAACTGTTAACAAAAGTTTTGAATGGTAGTATTATTTTATACGGAAATCAACTATAATTCAGATGAGAATAAAGTAAGGGTTAACTAAAATGAAGGAAAACAAATATATTGATCTGAAATAGTAAATTAATTTTAAATTCATTCAGGTACAATTACCAAACATATCTCAAGGTCTTTTCATCTTTTTAATAATTTAATTAATAAACTAATTATATAAAACTATTGTCAGTGCACTACAAATAAACTGGTTCTATGCCTTTATTAATAAAACTTATTTAAAAAAATACAAGGCTTAAGACATTTATAAAAATGCCTTCTGCATTTTTGTTTTGCTTTTCACTCCATTGTACCGAAATCGTACCGAAACGTGACGTCTGAACCGAGGTATGAACCGAACCGTACCTTCTGTGTACCGTTCCACCCCTAGTAGAGCATAATGTTAAGCAAAAATGAATATTCAATCATTTACACATCTGTCATTTCTTGTGACTTTTTCACACACACAGTATATATAACACAAAAGAAGATGTTTCTGAGAATGTTCACGCTGCTCTTGTACATACAATGAAGGCCTACAAATGACATAGCAACATGATAGCAGCAGACCAGTAGGTCCAGTATTGTGAAGTTTGTCATTTGTTCACCTCTAGTGTTAACAAAAGGATTTGAAAATAATGACTTTAAACTCTCATCATTGTGTGTGTATAGATTTCCAGTCTTATGATGGCTTATGTAAGGAAAAATCTGAAATTTAGATCATTACTCACTGAATATCCCTTGTTGTGGCTTTCAACATTCATTTGCACATCCAAGATTGATGCATCACTGTCAGTTATGAGGCATGACAACCAATGAAATTTGGCATGATTTGTGCCAAGCATGACTTAGTTTTGCATAGCTAGACTTATCGCAATAAACTGCCCACTGAGACACACAGTCAAACTATAGTTTTATTTTTTATGTGCCATTTAGGGACAGAAGATGTGTGTATACTCATCCTTTCTGTTTCCCTGACAGTAATAAATACTGAATAAAATACTGAAGTTAATAGACAAGACAAGAAGTAATAGAATATACTGTTGTGCTCATTAGTATTTAATTTAATGTTAATATCTAGCCTATCAACAACATGCCTTAACTCAATATTTGTCATAGATTTGATGCCACTATCCTGGCTAACTTTGGAAAATCTAGTGTCTAGTTCTTCCTAAAAATGACTCATTGTATCTATCTGACATGTCTTTATACTTTATACTATGAAAGAAATCAATACTATTAATTACATTATAAATGTATTCACTTCAACTTTTGATCAATTTAATGTTACAAAATATTTATTTCAAATAAATGCTGTTGCTTTTAAACTTTATTTTCATCAGGATAATCCTGAAATTATCACGGTTTCCACAAAAATATGAAGCAGCACCACTGTTTTCAACATTGATTATAATAAGAAATGTTTCTTGAGCAGCAAATCAGCATATTGTTATATTATAGAATCATATTAGATCTGAAGGATCATGTGACACAGGAAATCAAAAGCACAGGAATACATTACATTTTAAAATATATTCTCATAGAAAACAGTTATATTAAGTTATAACAGTATTACACAATGTTACTGTTTTTATGATCAAATAAATGCAGCCTTCATGAGCAGAAGACTTAAAAATCTTACTGATCAAAATCAACCATGGAAGAAGGAAAGTCATACAGGAACAACGTAACAGGACGTCCTCCCAGAAAGCTGGTCTGTTTCTTCTGGAGGACATAAATATTGATGTTTGTGTCTTTCATCTGTTGAAGTGTGTGTTTGTGTGTGTGTGTCTCTCGTCACCTGACCTCCTCCTCTGTCCACTGTGGCTCTGGGTTCGCCCTCTTTAGCTTCTCCTCAAGGTACTCTATCTCTGCTCCTCTCCTTCCATCTGTTTCTCCACTCCTCCTCCTCCATTTGTGTGCAGTTTTTTTTTGTCCTTGACCTTTCCTGTCACTTCCTTTTTGTATTAACACACCTCAGGTCTAACACACACACACTCTCTGCGGCCGTCACTATGGATCAGGCCCTCTGGATGGGTCGTGAGTCAGCCTGGAGTGATGCAGGTGTGCCGGTGGCCCAGATCTTAGTGGTTTTGTCAGAAAGTTAAAAATTGATGTTGGTAAGACGCACTTGTGAAACGGCAAGGGAAGGAATGTGCTTTCCTCTCCGCTAGCTTTGTTGCAAGAGACGGCGTGAGTGAAATGGCTCGGCAACTTGATGTACATTGTGTTCACATGGGCTCACACTTATTTTCAAACAGTCCAACAGTTTGAGCTTGTGTAAGTCAGTTTTTACTGCACATGCTGAGTTAGTTTTTTTCTGTTTGTTTTCTGTTGTTTTAGAGGGAAATTAAGGTGAGGTGTGTCATTTGTTGACCTCTGTTGTTAACAAACTGTTAGCCTCTAGTGTTATTTCCCAAACGCTCCCCTAGCCTGCTATTGGTCGTTTAAACAGATAGCCTTGCCCCAAACTCACACACACACAAAATGATTTCAGCTGATTTATTATTTATATTTTATTTATTATAGACATTGCATTTCACTGATTATTTATATATATATATATATATATATATATATATACATACACACATACACACGCATATATATACACACACGCATATATATACACACACACACACACACACACACACACACACACACACACACACACACAATGAGCCAGAATAGCCCTGCCACAAACTCACACCAAACTATGCATGTATATTTATGTACAGTATATGTATGCAAGTAGGGCTATATGGGACGAACTATATGTGGGCCTACAACATTTTTATCATCTATTGTTTCTAATTCTATGTAAGATGATTTAATATTATGTGTAAAATGATTTAGACATTTTACAAAAAATCGTTTTTTGGACTGATTTCCATAAATAATGTACTTTATTTTTTCAATTATTATTTTTTATTTTTACTATTGTTTTTTTTTTCTTTATCCGTCTTATAAGTTCTTATCCATAACATAAATATACTTGTCAGTTATGGTTATAGTCCAGGCGTTTTATTTCCTTACATTGCATATCCAGTCTTGTGAAAGTATCGGTGATCCAGACTCTCCAGCTTCTTAAAATGTGTTCGGCCGGTGCAATAACTTTCAGCCAGTGCCAGACTATCTGTGATTTCATTGCTGTAAAACTCTTGATCTGACTGGTGTTACAATTTGAAAAACACATCAATTCAAAAATACAAGTTACAACCTCAGATGTAAACACTTGAACTCCAAGACCTCATTTCTCAGCAGACTCCCGGGTTGAATCATAAGCTGTGGGCTGCTGGGAAGAGAATATTTATCAATTGAGAAACTTCATATCCCATCCATCACGGCCTCTGTTGACTCAAATGTTCAGAGTTCTTTCAGAAGCCTTCTTTTTTTCTTTTAAATGATCTCAAAGTATGTCAAAATTTGACACAATGATGATCAAACAGGAAGGAGCCGTTTTATATCTAGATCTGTACACTCTCAGGACCACGGTTTCAAGTGTGTCTAAATAAAATCCGACATTTATCAGCTGAATAGCAGTGGCCCGCTTTAGAAAGAAGCTGTGAGTTTTCTTTTCTTTAACAAGGTTTAAAGCTTTCCCATGTTGATTGTTACCAAACAGGACGTTTTTTTGGTCCTGTAAAAAGATTCCTGTCAAACCCTGTCCAAGAAAACTGAAACTACCCATACAAACCAGACAGTTGTTGAGGCTCCAGCTCGAAACCCAACCCTAAAATCTGATTGGTTTATAATACTATTGTACAGTATTTCACATTCTAGTTGGTCATTTGTTTGTTTATTTACATATATTTTATTTATTATTCATTAATTTTTGTTTTTTTACAGACATTTTATTGCACATTCTATTTTCATTCTTGTTTTCTTTATTAGGGGTTCAAGTACGAAGTGCTGAAAACCTATTGTAATTGTTAGGATTTTTATTATTTTTCTTTTCCTCTAAAACGCATCGTGCAGACCAAACCGTAAGTGCTAGAGCCTTGAAAGTTGGCCGGAAGGTAGTCTTCAGTTTGGGGAAAACCTATCAAAGTATGAGCCCGACTGGCCAATAGGTGGCGCTACAGTAAGCAAAAGTACGAAATTGCTCATAACTCCTAGACGCTTTGTCCTAGACTCAAGTGCCGTACATCACTGTGATCCCTGGCTCAAGACGGACAAAACGTATATTTCCGATTTCTGCCATCTTGGATTTTGTCCAAAATTTATTTTTGCTAACTAGTCCGAGGTTTTTTGCCCGATCAGAACCAAACCAGTGCAGTACAATTCTCTGAACTCTTTAGATCAATAAATTGTAAAAAAAAAATGTAACTGTACCCTTTGGGTAGCTATAACAGGATCATTTAGAAAATGGGTATGGCAAAAAACACTCAAAAGCCTATAATTCCTAAACGAAAACTCACTATATTGCCTTATGTGCTTGAACCCCGCTAAATGCTGCTTGCAGCTTTAATTTAGATGCATTATTTTGTTTTAATTTATTTAGCTTTTTTTTTTTTTTTTTTTACAGACATTGCAATTCACATTCTAAAACTTTAGTTAGTAATTTTTTATTTGTTTCTTTTTTTAATTCATTTTTGTTTATTAATGTATTTTACAGATGTTGTATTTCGCATTGTGTAGCTGTTGGTGACTGATATCTAGATGAACGGTTTGGCACTAGTGTTAGCTGGTAGGAGAAGGAAACACACGTGTTCTTGGTTCACTGATCATCTGTGCTCTGGTTATTGACCGGGCTGTTGGAGAGTATTGGAGTATTTGTGTGTCGTAACCATCTTCTCTGCATGCGGTCCGTCTTGCATTGACAGCTCTCTCACTCGGGCCGTTCATCACAGCTGGGTTTGCTCTGAGCAGAAATAGACTGATGAAAATCACAGCCGCCAGTCTCACTCATAATCATTAAATAAGGGTCTTGACTCCTTCATATAATTATTTAAACAATGTGATGTCACAGCACATATTTATCAGAAATAACACAATCCACTACATTTTTTTTTAAACCTTTTATTCTGTCTAACCATGATTTTCCTCTTTATTTAATGTGTTTAATGTCATTTTTAGATCATTGATTATACTAATAGATCCTTGTTTGTGTGAATTTCTAGGGCGCTGCACTGAAATACGTCCCAACTATCGTCAACGATCTGAAACTGGTCTTTGATCCAAAGGAGCTCAGGTGAGTTTATCACGCTTGTGTCTTCAGGTAGTGTTTAGCAAATATCTTTATAGGAGATAGACTTTAATAGGCTATGTGCACAAGCGTAATTTCGAACTTCCGCTATTGTCAGAAGTCGGCATGTCAGTTTCCGGTTTACGGCTGTTCATCCGCAACCGCTATAAACGAACAAGTGCTGCTGTTGTATGAAAAAAAGAGTTGTTAAACACATCTAAGTTTCTAAGAACTGTAGGTGGATCCATCATCTAACGCCCGTTTCACACACACCCCGTTTGCAGTGCGTGTTGTGGTGCAGGAGCAACGCGCGCTATAGTGCAGTTTCACATATGATGCGTTTGCAGTGAATAACTGATCCGCGGCTGTACCACAAAACATACTTACTTTTTTGTTTTTTTTTTTCGAGTCGCCCAAAATGTCTATTTTGTGCAGCCACTGCGCACGAAGGTTGGTGTTTTTCGGGAAGCGGTGGAAGCTCAAATGGCTGTTAGCGACTTGAAGCAGAGCAAAGTGGCACACAGCAGTGCTCCTAACGCACCATGTTAACAGGTTAGGGCTTTCACTTTTCACACCGTTTCAGATGCGGCACGTATAACAGCAGTGCAGCGATCGTTTCTGCACCGAATCTATTTCTGCTGTGCTGCATTAAAGTGACACCGCATGTTTCGTGGTCAAAATGCACAAAGATTGACCTGAAAATGTAGTAATTTCACCATAAATGCGTTTCATTAAATAAAATGTAGTAATCTCACCATAAATGCGTTTCATTAAATAAAATGTAGTAATCTCACCATAAATGCGTTTCATTAAATAAAATGTAGTAATCTCACCATAAATACATTTAATATACCGGTACTACTATTTTTCACAGTCATCTGAAGACTGTGAAAACCGGGGTAAATCAAGGAAAACTACAATTAAGGCGACATAATGAACAACACTCGTCTCATTCGTGGAGGTGGAAAAACAAGTTCTTTGTGACATACAAGATCTATTGTAGGCTATTACAATTTAAATGCAAAAGAAAAGGCATGTGAGTCGGCTGTTTTTGCCAATTTTAAGTTTTAATTTAAAATATTTGCCATTTTAATATAGTAAATTTGACCACTTGCTTGAGCAACTTAATATAAGTAATGCATGGAATAATAGCCCTAACTTGCGTTGTTTAAATTGTGTTTAAACGTGCATACATCCATTAAAGAGTGTGTACAAAGAGAATCGCAATGCTGACAACTTTTTTTTTTTTTTTTTTTTTTTTTTTTTTTTTTATTGCAAATTAACAAAGGAATAATACATACAAGGTAGTGAGACACATATACAATACATAAGAGAGAAAAAGCACAAAAACAAAACAAAAACAACAAAATACAAAACAGCCCAGTACAGTCATCGATAAAGTGGTGTATGTAGGGACATGAGATCCTTTCTGTGATGCAAGTATGGATAGGGACAGTCCGGTGGTATCAGTATAGTTTTAGTGAAGTATTAATTATCCCAACAATCACAACAACAACAGCAATATATTAATATTAGTGGTGATAGTATCAATGATAATATTTATAATGATAATTCATGACAATAATAGGAGCATTAGCTCTAGAAATCTATAATAATAGTAACAATAGTACTAATAACAATACATTTAGGTCAGTCAAAAAGATGTCACCGTACCTGCTCTAAACTCTAGGTCAGGGGGCTGATCCACAGCTGCCAGTGAGCACAACCAACAGACATCCCCACCCCCCTACCCACACAAACACCGACACCTCTCCTCTATTCAATAATCCGATTCCCCCTCACCGCCGCCAGCGACACCCAACCCCCGTAGTTATGTTTTAAGGCTCCATTGAGGTTTCCTCTAAAAAGTGCGCCGGGGCACCATAACAGGCACCTCCAAACCAAGCTCCCTTAGTTTGTTTGTGACCTGACATAACCAAATGTTATGGGTGGTTGGCCCTCTTGCCCCCTTTTTTTTCTTTTTTTTTTTTTTTTTTTTTTTTCTTTTTTTTTTTTTTTTTCATGGCTTTGAGCAAGGTGTGCACTGGTTAGCTCCCCAGCCAGAGACACCACATCCAACCCAGGTATCAAATCAATATTATTCTTTAACATGAGGGAGGGATCTGGCCAGAGGCAGTGAAAGGGAGGGGCCAGTCAGTCCAATCACTAAGTCTGTAATGATTATGCCAACAGGATATGCCAGTTGTACCCACCACCAGCACCTAGAACAGACGCCCGACCCAGACCATTTATGTTTTGAACAAAATTTTATACATATTTATACGTAATATTTTCTGAATTGTCATTTATATAGAACGAGGGAGGAAGGGAAGACTAATCATTCTATAATAATAATAATAATAATGTCAATATCATCATCCCTACTACCACCATCTTTAATAAAAATAAAAATAGCAATAGTATGCAGAAATAAAATAAAAGTACAACTTATCGAACATATACAGGTATACATACATACACACACACATACATATACACACGCATGCATACATCTACACATATATACAAATATACATACACATACATACATACAAATAGATACATGTACCTACATATATATATTATATATATATATATATAAAGGACATCTATACTGAATAATTATAGTACTTGTACAGTGATACTCAGAGATTATTCATTATTTGTCTATAAACGTGTAGTTTGGAGAATGCGTTGGTCCGGTTCCAGGTTATTGATTTATATGAAGATAAGTTAGGAATGGTTTCCAGATATCAAGAAATGTAGATATAATATTCTTGTTAGTGTATGTTATTTTTTCTAATGTGATGTACTCTATTAGAAGATTTGTCCAGTGATTGATATGTATACAGTTCTTGGACTTCCAGTTTTGCAAAATTACTTTCTTGGCGATAGTTAGAGAGATGAGGAGGGGGTTTTTGTATTTGATTGGGAGATTAACAACTTCCATGCAGTTATTAAGTAAACAGAGTGACGGGGATGGAGGGATTCCACAACCCATGATAACGGAGAGTTTTGTGGTCACTGATATCCAAAATGAATGAACTGATTGACAGGTCCATAGGGCATGAAAATAGTCATCTGTGCTCCCCAGTGTGCATTGTGAACAAATGTCTGTGTCCCTCAGGCCCATTACAAACATCTTTCTTTCGGTGATGTGAATCCTGTGAATGATCTTGAACTGTATGAGCTGGAGGTTAGTGTTATTAGTCATTGAAAATGTGTTGCTACAGATTTCCTTCCAGAGGTCGGTGTTGGGGGAGAAGGCTAAATCTTTTTCCCATTTATTCATGGGTATTATAATTGCAGTATCATTATTTAATATAAGTTTATGTAGTTTGGATATTAGTTTGTTGGTATTAGTGATTTTCATTATATCTTCCATTAACTGAGAGGGATGAAGTGGGTTATTAATTATGTTGATCTTGGTTTTAACTATGGATTTAATTTGTTGATATTGTAGAAACTGTTCTCCCCCAAGACCGTACCTCTGGACTAGTATTTTAAATGATACGAATTGGTTGTTTTCAAATAAGTGATGGAGATGAGTGATTCCTTTTTGTTTCCAAGATGGAAAATTGATCGGTTTATTGCATAATTGAAAATCAGGGTTGAACCAAATGGGGGTGTATCTACATGATGTTAATGGTGAATTATTCATTTTGTTTACTTGCCACCAGGCTGTCAGTGTTGATGCAATTGTAATATTATTAAAATAGAGCATTTTCTTAATTGATTTTGGTAGAAAGGCAAGGTCTGAAATTGAAGTATCTTTGCAATGGTTTTGTTCTAATTCCATCCATGAATTATTATGATTATTTTTATGAATCCATTTATATAAATATTGTAGCTGGTTTGCTAAAAAGTAATATTGAAAATTTGGAGATTCTAGGCCGCCGTGTGATTTTGTCTTTTGTAATTTTTCCAGTGATATTTTAGGTGTTTTATTTTTCCAATAGAAGTGAGAGGTTAATGAATCCAGTGATTTGAACCATTTATTAGTGGGTGTTGTTGGAAGGATTGAGAACAGATAGTTGACTTGTGGTAAAGTTTTCATTTTAACTGTAGCAATGCGACCGATAAGTGATAGTGGTAGGTTAGTCCAGCGTTTTAAGTCATCTCCAATTTTTTTTAAAAGTGGGGTATAGTTAAGATTAAACAACTCTGACAGTCTGGAGGAAATGTTGATACCCAAGTATGTAATGTTGCCAATGTGGAGTGGAAGAGAAGAATCATGAGCTGTGGAATCCCAGGCGCCCTCAGAAAGGGGTAATATTGTTGATTTATTCCAGTTTATTGTATAATCAGAAAGTTTTGAAAAAATATTAATAATTTTAAAGGTTTCTTTCAATGACTTATAAGGGTTTTGTAAACATAACAATAGATCATCTGCATAAAGACAGATCTTATGTTGTGTATTGACGTTTTGTATTCCTTTGATATTATCATTTTGTCGTATTGCTGCTGCAAGTGGTTCTATAAACAGGGCAAATAAAGAAGGAGAAAGTGGGCATCCTTGTCTGGTCCCTCTGTGAAGTGTGAAATTTTGTGATGTGATCCCATTTGTTGTTATTGTGGCCCTAGGTGAAGTATATAGTATTTTAATCCAGTGGATGAATGACTCTCCAAAGCCAAATCTATGTAGAGTGTTAAAAAGAAATGTCCAGTTAACTTTGTCAAATGCTTTTTCGGCATCAAGTGATACAATTATAGTTTTAGTGTGATTTTGTTGTGCAAGGTTAATTAGGTTGAATAATCTACGCATATTATCCGAAGCATTCCTGTGTTTAATAAAACCTGTTTGATCATGGTGAATTAACATCGGGATAACTGTTTCTATTCTAGTAGCTAATGCTTTGGTAATGATTTTTAAATCTGTGTTTATTAATGAAAGAGGGCGGTAACTAGAGGGGTGCATTGGATCTTTGTTTGGTTTTAGCAAAAGTGTCATAACCGCCGTATTCATGTGTGCTGGTATTGTCGAAGTAGTTTTAATTTCTTTAATA